GATACTACTGTTCATGTTTGCCTTTTGTGTCTTCATTTTACAGCTTCTGACATTTATCTGTAGACATTAACATAAAAAATAGGCAACATGAGAAACCTCCTCCCTTCTGAGGTGCATTTTACTTGCACATTAAATCCAAAAAGAAACGTCTCCTCATTAGCTTAAAAGGACTAGTTTGCGTCACTAATTAGCTTTACTAACGTCAGCTCCTCCAGTCACCACCGTCCTTTCTGACAGACTGAAAACTGAAAAATAATTTAATCAGTCTGTACAGGACAGAGCTGCAGGCTTCGCCAGTTTAGTCCAAGTTTGTACCTGATGTTCTGAACATTGGACAAGTAGGCAGTAATAAAATACAGCTTCCAGTTACTTTCTATAAATTGAGGTAATGTTAAGTTACATAGCAGCTGTGTAGCTGCTGTAGAAGCTGCTCAGCTGCGCAGTCTGAAGGGGAGGGCGTTAGCTAACTTAGCGCTGTTTCCAGCAGGTGGGAAACAACAGACTTTTCTTGGTCTTGAGAAGCTAACACACTGTAACAGACACCGTACATTTACTGCCAGAATATTTTCTTCTGCTCGCGTTCACCGTCACTTTCTGCCGCTCGGACAATCAAACACTCGCTACGTACCTCCTAATTCAGAGTACGCTGCATATCTTCTGCATAGAACGAGGAGAGGAAGCGAGCGGAGCATTGAGTGCTGCCGTGCTCGCACAGTGTGCGAGTGAAAACATTTGTAGCACATTGTTTAATGATCGTGGGAAATTTTAGTAGTGAATGCATATAGAGGAACACTGAAGTTACTCGCTACTCAAGTAATTTTTTTAGTAAATACTTTTGTACTCCTACTTAGTCCTCCAACTCCTAATTAGTTATTTTGATGACCACTATAACCTCTACTTGAGTACTTGGTTTTGCAAAGTAACAGTAGGCCTACTTACTTGAGTACAGTTTTTGGCTACTCGACACAGGGACGTGCACAGGGGGGTTGCTCTGGTTGCCCGGGCAACTGCCCGTTTGCCTTTCCTGACTCAAGTTGCCCTTCCGACTCGCCCTTCCGAGAAAAAATAAAAAAATAAAAAAATAATCGCGATCGCAAAGCCTCATTCACTTCCATTCGGGCACCGAAAGTGAAAGTCAGTAGGGGAAGGGCAAACTCTGTTTAAGTGGCTGCACTGCTGCAGCGCTGCCTGCACGTCAGTCGATTCTGTTCCCTACCGGAATTCCTGTTTCCTTCCTTTATGCAATCATACTACAACAAATCATGCGTAGTTTTGCCCAGTTACCATACGTGATACGTACCAACAGAAGTGAATACAAGCTAGAAGCGCAACTGAATGTACGGGAAGCCAAAAGGTTAAAAAAGGATTGTATTTTTTTCCGAAATCTAAGCGGTTTTTTTTATTTAATATTTTATTAGAAGCGAGTTTTCCCCATCTGTCAATTCAATCTAGATTATTTATTTTCAAATAAAAAATAATAATGATTAAAAAAAACAATAAACAATAATATAAGGAACTCTTTTTCTCATATGTATTTTGGTGACATTTATATTGTTAATACATTTTGGATACTGTGTTTAGTGCCTTTTTTCAGGTCAGAGCAACTGCCCTTCAAAATTCCTGTGCACGTCCCTGACTCGACACGTATGGAATCTTTTCATTATCACCTGTATTGGTGTTCTTCCTGGATCTTGTGGCTGTTTTCACAAATGTGTTCAGGTGTTGTTGCTAATAATGGGCATTCAGACTTGGTCTCACATGACCACAACGACTGTCATTACAACAGTCAGGAGCACTAACAAACTAAGGAGTATCCATCCCCTTGACAACAACCCCATAGAGGGTAAATGGCTGAGATTCCCTGCCAGTCAGTGACTTTAATCTTCCTTGGATAGCTATGACTTGGATGTGAGAATCTTCACATGTTAATTAATCAGTTGTTAATAAATGATTAATTCTTGTTTCATTTCAGCGTACATTGTAGAAGTCCTTAATGTTTCTCTGAAGAGTAACTTTGAGCTGTACAAAACAAATGTAAACGAGGTACTCAGATCACGTAAGTAAACTGTAACACTGGCCTTTAAATAGTTGTGCACAATTATATATGCTTATGCTTTGAAGACCATAAATATAATCATCATACAATAATGTTTTTACCAGATGGAGATGTCCATGTGACTGAAAATTCTGTTAGAGTGTTTGCTAAGAGGCGTCAGTGTAAAGGACAGTTAGATTTGGGAAAACAGTTTCTCATCATGGGCAAAGATGGCTCCACCACCGACTCAAATGGAATGTAAGTATATTCAGTAATATTTATGGAAGTATAATTTTACACTGATTGATTCTGACTCTGGTCACTCTCTTTTTGTAGGATGCAGTATCTGTTGGAATCAAACACCTGGGTTGAAAAAAAGCCTTTGGAAGAAGAATGTAAAAAATCTCGTCATCATAGCACTGCCTGCACAGGGTTTAATACATTTACAAATGAGTACAAGATTGATGGCTGCAGACAGTGAAACAGAATTTGTTTCATTTGACTTTAATTTTCAGTTTAGTGTAACTCAGTGCAGTAGTTTCCCATGAGATGCACATTCAGCATGGGTGCTGAGCTTTTTTTTTTTTTTTTACTGTTTATACACTTGGCTTGTTGTTGGCGATGTGAAATTATAACATGAAATTAAATTTGTATGTTCTTAATTCTTTTTTGCACATCTGGACATGATACATGTGCCACAGACATTTGATACATGTAGGTAAACTCTGCTGCATGGACTGCTTCCCTGATGGTCACTTCCTGTTGCCAGTAGGTGGTGCTATGACTATAGGTGTATTTAGGCAGGTAGATGTGTTCAGGGTGGGTATGTTATCAAACGTGTAAAGTTTGGTACAGATTTGAGCAACAAGTCCTCCAACCTAAAAGTAGCATAGGTCCTTTTAACCAACCTCCAAATACGACTCATATGAGCATATCCTAAAGTAGCGCCCCTACCGGTGCCGTTTGTCCATGCCTCCCAAAACGGCAATTTCGAAATCCCTTTCTTGACTGGACCTACATTTTGGAAGTCACGTTACATAAAAACATGGAGACTGCAGCGACACAAAGGAGAACCCAACAACCCTCGATTTGAGCATGTACAGTCAAGTTACAACAACTTCCTGTGTCATGGCAAAGCGTGGAACTTTGCCGTCATGCCACGGACACGCCGTTAACCGAAAACACAACTTTTACAACATGACATGATCAATGTGTTAAGGGTTTTCTGGGACAGTTTTGAAGTTGATATGGCCAGCCTGCTAGGAGAAGTTCATCACAGCATGAAACTTGTCATTTCCTGTTTCCAGTATGTGGTGCTATGACTTTGAATGAATATAAGTTGCGTTTGACTTCATGTGGCGCTGCGCAGCGCTGACTTATAATGCAGATTTAATACTGACCACTTTTTGCTTAGCGCAACGTCGTTGTACTAAGCTCAAGGTAAGCTCACGCATGTAGAATGTCTCTGACTTGACGGTGGTGTTTTATACCCCGCCCCTGCAGTCACACGTAGCTCACGTTAGACTATGAAGTCGCCAAAGGTCATCTCGAATGCACCTATTAGCATGGTTCAGGGCAGGACTGTTATCATACATGTAAAATTTTGTACAGATGTGAACAACTGAGAACAACTTCTTATTTTGTGGCATGGGCCGCACGCAGGAAAAAACTCACAGATAGCATATCTTTTAATCATCATTGGGAGCAGACTGCACAGTAAAAATTGTCTATTGGACAAATTCTCTAGGAGGAGTTTGTGAAAGTATGGAGTGTGTAAATCGACAAAAATGACCATTAAATCCAAAATGGCTGACTCCCGGCAATATTTCTAGCAACAAATAACTTCCTGAATAATTTCCTGAAAACAGGAAAACCAAGTCAGCGGTTTTAAAGGTCGCATGCTGCCCCCAGTACCGGGGACGTCGGTGCTTCTTGCACGCTACGTGCATATTTACAAAAAATAACACAAATCTAATCAAAACATAAATTAAACTTCCTTAAACAAACACACAGTGTCTACTATCAGAGAAGGTCCCAGGAAGGTGGAAAATTGAGGCAAAATTTCAGAGACTCTAGGGATCAGTGCCTCAGTCTGGAGCAGTTAGCTGGGATAACCATTTTGGTGCTTTAATTCTACCAAAAATCTTGACACCAATGTTCTGGTGTGTTTACATTTACACAAGCAGTAAGCAAGTATAAAGCAAAATATCAAAAAAGACTTAAATATCTGATGCGTTCAATTTATTTTAAATGTAAACTGTAAAAAAGTTAATTCTCTGTCCAACGTGTGTTTAATTTGATTTGCATAACATTCATAGTATAGCAAAGTATGACAAATGTTTTTGTAACTGTTTATTGCACTTTACACCGAGTTGTTTATGTGGAAAAAAGAAAGTTCATAATGTGATAATAGTCTGTCTTTATCATAAATCTTATGACTGTTCTGTTTTGCCAGATCAGAACAGAGTTTGGCAGGTTATTAAATTCCATTCAGCATACAATCGGTTCACTGAAGAACACACATGATGATGGGGATTGTATAATAACAAGTAAACTGCACAGGCAATTTTATTATGTGTTAAATACAAGGCTTTAGTAACTATTGATAATACATATTAACAAATCTGATTAACTAAACTAAAGAAATTATTGTTTACAGATAGACTTGAGCTCCACTTTTCAAATCATTCCTGAACTATGTGTTGTAGAGTCAACAGCACTCATAAACCCAAAGAGCCAAAACTTGATTTCTTGTAAATCACATGATTTGGGGGAAATCTAGCTGACTTGCACTGACCAATGAGGGAACAGTTACACATTGTGAAATAGAAACTAGAAACACTTTCCATGCTGCAAGCCAATGGTGATATAACATGGTATGATATAAAATTATAAAATCAAACATGATGATCAACAATTATCTGATGTGTGTTGTTAACTTTGTTGTTTTAGATAAATCTGTTTAGATCACAAGTACACACTACTGACACAACAAGTCTGTTATCTGTACACATCAGTATACATGTTGTATCTGATAGTGTGATGTTTTTCTCATTATATGTTTTTTTTTTATTAGACCCTACAGGAAAATATTAAAAGTAACATCACTGATGTTAAATGTTTTGCATTAAACTGGCCTGACTCAGTTAAAACTGGTTTACAGCAGGTTCCTTTTCTGCAGCATATAATAGACAGAATCACATTACAATACAACAAAACATAAGCTACACAAATACTACGGAGAAAGGACATCAGTGGGGTGAGTAAGATAGTCTATGCGAGTTGAATCAGTGGTTGCAGGTTTGTCCTTTTATTGCCTGATACATGCAGCATGAGACATCACTCTGAGGAGTTAAGAAAATAAAAACAGAGGGAGGGCACTGAGGGACCCAGCGATTGAGAAATACAGGGGTGGGTGACTAACAAAACCTCAGTTAATAGAAAGTTTGCTTCAGAGCAGGCAAAGAAAAGGGAGCTGCACAATGAAGTGCTTCATCTTTTTGATACTGTTCCTGATCTTGACTATGGAATCCGAGTGTTCAACAGACAACGGGTAAATATAGAAATACCTGCATCAATCTACATTACATATGTTTTGTGTTTAATGCAAAGAGGCCTAAATGCTTTCTGTCTTCTAAGATTTGATATCATTGCACATTAAATGTATGTTTGTTTCAGTCATAATATGTTTGTGTAATTTTGCCAGAATGAAATAGCAGATGTTTGAATAGAAGTTGATGAATGCAAAATATGGTAATGAAGGATACAGTAAGTGCAAATTTTTTCTGTGTGTGCAGATTCTTCATCTCAGCCCCTGGAGTGTTTCATGTGGGTGTAAATGAGAAAGTGTTTGTCCAGATGGGAAGGTCTCATCTCAATAATCCTGTTACTCTCTACTTGGAGCATGAGACTACCAATACTCGTGTGTCTGTGCAGAAAACTGTTCTGTGTACAGTGGAAGGGGAGATCAAAACAGTTGAGCTCATGGTATGAGAAACTTCTTCACTCATACACAAAGCAAACTGTTAAAACAGGACTGAGATGCCATTCACCCAAACTCCTAATCTGCATTTTTACAGATAGACAGAGAAATTATATCAAGATGTTCTCAAAGTCATGATTGTTCCTACCTTAACCTGGTGGCAGAGAGCCCCTCCTTCAGTAGCAGGAAGGCAACAAGGGTCTTTGTGTCAAAACGCAGGGGCAATATCTTCATTCAGACTGATCAGCCAATCTACAGCCCAGCACAAGCAGGTGAATAGAAAGTCAACAAATGTAAAACAATGTGAAATAATTCTCCACTCTAAAGAAATAACAGTGATTGTTGATTATCTCTCTTAGTGAAGTACAGGATATTCACTCTTGACCACACATTCAGGCCTCATGAGGAAGTGTTCCTCATATCAGTATTTGTGAGTATACATTTTCTCAAAAAATAAATTACTGCACAATTTTTTTTCCTGGATTTATTTCATGATTCATGTTTTTATCTTTTTATGATAGAACGCTGCTGGAAACAGAATAATGAAGTCCCTTAAATCTGCGAAGGGAGGAATACTCAGAGGCACATTCCCCATACCTGATGTCTCTAAGTATGTAAAAACAGATTTACAATAAACTGCCTCTAATATAACAAAACTAACCTTGACATAATAACACAGGTATGTTTTATTTACAAAGAACGGGCATGTGGAAGATTACAGCAAACTATGAAGATGATGAAGCAAATGTTGCTTCCCGAGAGTTCAGGGTCCAAAAATTTGGTAAGATAATTTAATTACAGTAATTTACTTTTATTTTAATTAACAGATAATTTTTATCCCTCTCAAGAATGTTTTTTTTTTGTTACCCACCCTAGTTTTACCAAGTTTTGAGGTGAACATCGCAATGGAGCAGAGCTATATTTTATTGAATGATAACCAGTTTGACTTCAAAATCTTAGCCATGTAAGTGTTGATTATTTTTCCATTAAACTGACTTAACTGCCAAGTGTTCCTGTTAAAGCTGCATTCATTAGTTTTTGCCACAAACATAGCTAAAGCTATAACGTTATTCTCACGTTGTGCTATGGGACTCACAAACAAGCTGGTTGTTATGTAGCAGCTACCTCACAGTATCTAGGTTACTTACTAGTTATTAGTTAGTTACTTACATATACACAAAGAATCCAGACTTATGTTTTTGGCCACCTGCTGAATGTATGCCCTTTATTGACTGGTCTTTTTGCACTGGTGTAACAAAATGTGCCTCTCTGTGACAACTGGCTTGTCATAAAGCCCCAAAATAAGCTATAATTGGCTAAAATACTCCGTAGAGCGGAAGATGTGGGTAAATGTGCGACCCCTTTTAAATAAGCCCTTGTAAATTGATTAAATATTAATATTAAAGATGTTCATGAGTGCAGTTTTGATGAGAAGGAACACTTAATTGTAGTCCATATATTATATTAGGCTAATGTTCTGAGACTCTCCTTTTGTCTTAATTTCAACGGTCACAATTCTCTAATGATTTTTTCTCTAGGTATTTACATGGGGAGAAAGTTAAAGGTGCTTACCACTGCCAGTTTGGAGTGGTAAAAAAAGATACAAGTGGTCAAAAAATGAAGCCTTTCTTTATCAGTGGACTGGAGTTGACTGGTTCGGTGAGGAAATGGATATCTATCCAAGATTTAATGTACAGCTCATTTGAAGATCTGAGATCAGATAATCTGGCAACATATTGCATCTCTTAAGTGTTTGAAAATCAGTACCTTATGCTATTTCTTGCAGATCCCAAATGAAACTGCAACAACTTCTCTCAAGATGGCAGACTTCAAAGAGCACCTCCAAAAACAGCAGAACCAAACCCTCTCTAAATTACAGCAAAGTGGAGCACAACTCTACTTGGGAGTATTTGTCACCAACATACAAAGTAAAGGACACCATGTCACTATATATACAATTGTTTTTAGTCACAAAACAACAGCAAATTTTTTTGGGAGGTTTGGGTACAGTAAAGTATGATGTTTACTCATGGTTGGTGTTGTGACAGCTAGTTTTTGTTTTTTTCAATGTACCTCCAGGCCACTGCAATGACGGTGTGCTCCCATGGGAGTGTTGGTCTTAAAGTGAGGTGTGGTCAGGCAACATGTTGGCGTATTGCTATGTTGAGGCAGCAGAAAGCGATTGCGCCACTGACCTGTTATACCTATTATTGTGATTTTTTTATTGCATCTAATATCTGCATTTTTTTGGTCCAGGTGGTGAAATACAAGTGGAAGAAGTTTACATTCCTATCATCTCCCACAAATACACCATTGACCTCTCTCGGACTCGCTCATATTTCCTTCCTGGATATCCTCTAGATGTGGTGGTAGGCATAAAACAAAATAGGTGCACAGCTATGTACATGACTTGACTTTGTATGTAAAACATTTTATTTGTTGTTATTATAGGTCGTCCTGCGTCTCCCAGATGGCTCCCCAGCAGCTGGAGTGCCAGTAAAGATTGATGTAGCAGCATCTTCAGAGAAATTTTGGCAAGGCACCACCAACCAGGAGGGGGCAGTGTTTCCTGTGTTTAATATTCTCAATGAAGCTCAGATTACTGTTGAAGTTAGTATCTCTTAACAGTGTTATCAATTGATAAACCACTGGATTTTGCTTTTGTTCAGTTGAACTCTTTACACCCTCACTTCATCAGGTGTCAGCAGATGACCAGATGGAGAGGAAAGTAATTCGCCGAGCTTCATCTCCAAGTGGCAGCTACCTTTACCTGAGTATTACCAACAAGATGTACTCTGTGGGCGAGTTACTGTCTGTAAATTACAACACCATGAATGGCCAAAAACATGGGTTTATATATTACATGGTGAGACATATCTGAGTCAATACATCAGGGTTTGTTTTGACAAAGAGAAGCAACGTTTTTTTTAAATATGTAACATTTTTATGTTGTAGGTCTTAAGCCGTGGGATCCTAATAAAACACGGTTCTCTCAGAATCGGTACTTCAGTTAAAGACAACCTACAGATAACGCCTGATATGGTGCCATCCTTCCGTCTGATTGGCTACTACTACGATCAGCATGGTAACATCGTTGCTGACTCGGTGTGGGTAGATGTCAGGGATGAATGTGAGATAAAGGTCAAGGTGAGTAAACAGAACAGATTAAAGTGCAGCCTGAACAGAATGAGACTGAACTTTGCCTCTGTTGATTGTGTGTATTTTAAAAGGTTAATTATGCATAAGTACAACTTTTTGTATTGTTTTGAATTTGTTAAATATGGGATGGGAATCAAGATAACACAAGACTTTCAACACAAAATATATCATTTGGACTAGTCGAGGTAGGTTTCAGCTACTGAACACAGTCAATGTGTTTACATGGATAAATTTAGATGTTTGTTGAATTAACTTTGACTTGACTTGACATGAGAATTTAAAAATCTCTGTATTATATTTTAACTCTCATTTAGGTAGAACATAACGGACAATTTGAACCTGGACAACAGGCTACGCTAGATTTTGATTTACATGGTCAGAAAGCCAGAGTGGCTTTGCTGGCTGTGGATAAGGCCTTCTATGCTCTCAATGCCGATAATAAACTCACAGCCAAACAGGTAACACCTTCACACTTTCGCACACTCCTTTCACACGTACTCTTTCTTAGAACACACTGATTTAATTCAACCCATATATTACAATACATTAAATCTCAGTTCCCACTTTTCAGGTGTTTTCCTCAATGCAGTCAAATGACTTTGGTTGCTCATACAGTGGAGGATCTGACCCTGCATCTGTACTAACAGAGGCTGGCCTGTCTTTTGTATCTCAGCACCAGTCAGGGTCTAAAAGGAGTATGACAAAAACACTATTTATCTTCATTTAAATCATTATAATGTTAAAGGAGAGCATTACAAATAAATCAGCATCCAGTTTAGATTGTGTTATACAGTATTTCTTAACTGCATAGATGTGATCAAGATGGATGAAGCTGAATACAGCAGATAATATATTATATTTGAAGGCAATATTTACCTTTTTGCAAATTATTGCTTTCATAATTCAAGCAACCATCCAAGCAGCTAATAACTTACTTTAATAATTGTTAAACATCTTTTCCAGGCAGTGACTGTGATTCCCAATCTGCACGACAAAGACGCTCTGTGGACCTTCAACAGGAAATGATGACCTTAAGTAAGACAACATTGTGGTATTACAACTCCAGTCTGTAAGATGCTTCTGGTCAGAATATGCTTTATAAATGTGTCTTTTTCTTTTTAATGTCACTTTCAGAATCCAACTTTTCCAATGAAAAGTTGCAAGACTGTTGTGTTCAAGGGTTTTACCTCAACCCTATGAAACGAACATGTCAGGAAAGAGCTAAGAGAGTCTCTCTGGTCGAGGAAAATCCTGTTTGTGCAGAAGCCTTTTTAAAATGCTGCCTTGAAGGAGAACGTCTGAGACAAAAGAAGATACAAGAGGATTCCCTGAAAGGATTTGGCAGGAGTGAGATGAATTTGTCATTTGGACATTAAATACTTTACACTCTGAGACAGCATTCAGTAACTGTGGCATGGTTATCACAGAGTTTAATTACAATCCTTTCATTTTCTCATTTTTAGCGGCAAGCACTGCTGACATTGAAGAATTCTTCTTGGACACAGTTTCGCAGAACATTCGACGATTTTTCCCCCCAAGCTTTGCATTCACAGAATTTGATGTTAATGACAAAAGACGGTAAGAGGTGGCTAGTCACAGCAACTAAAATGTTTTTGTGTGTTGTGTTGTGTTTTTTTTGTGAGTGAATCTGGTCAATTGCAAATCTCAACTCTACACTATAAATTTTAAGTAGATAAAGCATTTTTCAGACACATTTTACAAATAATTCATTTATTCTATCTTAAATGAAAACCTTTAGTTATTCGTTGGCCTTACCTGACTCCATCACCACGTGGGAGATTCAAGTTCTCACTTTATCTGCAGCCACTGGTAATAACAGCTTCCCATTTCACAAATGCATCTCGATGAAATGATTGAGTAGCTTCTCATTAATAAGTGAAATTGACTTAGTCTATGTTTCCTTCAGGTTTCTGTGTAGTTAAGGCACCGGAGGTCAAAGCATTTAAGAGGGCATTTGTGTCTCTGAGACTGCCTTACTCTGTGAAAAAATACGAGCAACTATCCATTTCGCCTGTTATCTACAACTATGGCTCTGACAGCCTACAGGTAGCTATAACGAAATGTTAACATTAAGTGGCACATAAAACAGTGACCACCTAATTTACATATTGAAATTGAATTATATGTGTTATTTTACTCCGTGGACACCTGCATTTTTATAGGTAGCAGTTCATATGGAACAAACTGAAGGACTTTGCTCCCCCGGATCAGCCACCACTACATCTTTTGTCAACATTACTGTGGAGCCACAGTCTTCCCAGTTTGTGTCCTTCTCGGCTGTCCCCATGGTAACCGGCTCCATACCCATCAAAATACGTCTCTATGATATAGAGAATGGATGGGGGATAGATGCAGTTGAGAAGGCTTTGAATGTGTTGGTGAGTGAAAAAATCTCTCTAATTTATTAATAATTTTATAATAGGCGCCTCCCTGACAAAATAAATATGAACACTTATCTGACATATCACTAAACTCCTGAACACTTTAATCGTAGAGAAAAACACTGATAACATTATCAGCTGTTTTCTTTTTTAATCAGTACTTACTGGTGACAGCTATTTATGCTTATACTAATGGGCCGTCAGTTTTTACGAATTGATAAAATATTTGTTAATAGTTATTAAGTGTTATCTCAGTGTTTGTGTTCAATAATGGTATGACTTTGATTATGAGTATGCTTTAAAATACTGTTTTGATGAATGAGCATATTTGTGTACTAGTACTTAATTCAACATGCTTTTTTGACTTGCATATTTCCATGAGTAAAGTAAGGGAGACAGTAATGTGGCTCCATTTTCTCATGTTGTAGACAGAAGGACTAGAAAAGAGAGTTGAACTAACCAAGGTGTTTAAATTCGATGGTGAGTTGTGTTAGTATGTCATAATACTTACTTGACATTATTTTTATTCTTACTGTATTTTCCACAGTTCCCTTAATCAATGTACTTCTCTCTCTCTTGATAGGGAGGAGCAGTCAGACTATCGCTATTGATGGAACTTTACCAGATGACATAGTGCCCGACTCCAACTCCAATATTTTCATTTCAATGGAAGGTATGTGTTGTTAGACACAGACTTATTATCATAAACCTTTGTAAATGACATTGTCTTACTCTTTCAATGTTCTCATCTCACAGGAGATGGATTTGGCAGTTCACATGCGAAAAACCTTCTTTCTCCTGAGAAGGTTGCTAGCCTGATTGTATTGCCTAAAGGATGTTTAGAACAGACAATGGTACGACTGGCCCCTACAGCTATAGCCGTCCGCTACCTTGACCTGAGTGAGCAATGGTTTGACCTGCCTGCTGGTGCCAGAGATGATGCTCTTGATAAAGTTGAGGAAGGTAGGACCTCATCAAGCACTTAATTGCATAATGTCTTTTTCTCTGACTAAGCACACAAATTCAGAATAAAGAAGAAAAAAAGAGTTTACTCATTAAGAGGTTACGCAATGCAGCGAGTTTAACAAACGTCCAGTAAAGGTTAAGGGCAGGTGATTGCCTTTGAAGTTTTTGCAATTGTGAAACTCTGAAAACGATGAGATTCCATAAGCAAGGGCTAGCCCAAAGGTATATTAAAATGAGTGCCGTAACGAGAAAACTGGATTCACAAGTATCTGTCAAATAAATTAAATGCTTCATGTCAGGAAAAAGTAAATCACCAGTATCACCAGTGAAGGATCAACATTAAGTTAAGTCCACAAGAGTTAAAGTAAAAAGAGTCAACAGTTAAGGCCTTTTGACACCAAGTCCATATATATATATATATATATATATATATATATATATATATTTTAATCCATCCAATCTAAAAAATTGCTAGGCACAGAAACCTTGCATACTGAGTCTGATGCATTTTATTATTCTGTTCATTGCAAAAATTCACAATGTGAGACACAGTTAAGTCATCAAGCAGTGACAATGGTTTTGTGGACAGCTCATCTGTCTGCAGCTCCTGACCATGGTTGTAGAAAGAGTAATGGGCCCAGTTCAGTTCCGAGAAAATGTAGCAAAATGTTTATTTAAACTGAGACAGTGGTCCCTTGAATACCTTGTTGTGTACTGCACTGCGTTATAATATGGCAGTGTTTATATACCCGCCACTGCTGATTTGGTAACACCTCTGACACACCCATCAAACGAGAGAAAATATACCTTAAAGATCATGATCAAGATCATACCTTAAAGGCACACCATTTTGAGGAAACATCATTCAACCCGGAAACCATAGAAAAATGGTGCAAATGTTTTGAGAATTAATTTGCCCTTGGATACAGTGTGGGAGGCCGGGCTCTGTTCATTCCTATGAAAGCTGCTCAGTGGTGCATACTTCTGTCGCTCTTTCTCTCACTCCTCTCTCATTATCTCCCTAGCTTCTCTCCATCTTTCCACACTGTTACTCTCCCTCTCTATCTGTGCTGTTCTCATCCTCTATTTCATTCTCCTCCTCCTCCTCCTCCTCCTCATCTACCTGAGTATTACTATCTGACCTGTTGAAAGTGTAGGCTATGAGAGTTTTGACAATGCTACTGTGATGCGAAAAACCGCAGAAAATTGAACCTGTTCCAAAAACTTTAACGACAGATGAAGGTTTTGGAAGAAGGTGTGTAAATATTGATTGACACAATGTGGGTTCATATTTATTTTTAAACATACAACAGTTTTGGATGAAAAATACAGACTTGGTGTTTAAAGGCCTTTATCCCTACATTAATTTAACAGTTACTTAGAATGATACACAAGCAACACATCCTCCAGACAGCTAGCACAGTGGCTAGCTTGGTTAGTTGATTATAGAAATAAGAAATTGTACATACATCACAATTAACAATTACAAAACAGATGTAAAATAAGTACCTACAAATAATACTCCAACAAGGGCATTTGAGGAGTAAATATGCCTGTCAATATTTGCTTCATCATAGATCTGATAAAATTGTTGATGTAAGAATGTCAGTTAAGCTGCTATGGAGTGATTGCTACTAGCAACAGATCACCCTGTTGGTGCCAGGAGAATTAGCTTCTAGGTTTACAGTAGACAAGAGTAAAAACAAAGGGTTGTTTGTTCTAGAGGTTTGGAGGTGTCACTAAGCAGTGTTTCTTACCTAAAAGTTAAACACATTGCATAGAATAACTGATTTAACATGAAGTAATTAAGCCACTATAGAATGTTATGTTTCACCCTCTAGTACAGGTTACTATCAAGACAGTTTTGTTTTTAACAACACTTTCTTTGGCAGGTTATATACATATTTTAACCAAGAAAAATGACAATGGATCTTATGGATCATGGAGTTCAGTGCCATCCAGTAATTGGTAAGCCATTTTGTTTTTTGATGGAAGGTAGTTACTTCTGTTTCACATCAACTCTCCTTGTTTCCTGTATCTCAAATTGTAAATCTGCTTTCTCTTGTCCTCAGGGTGACTGCCCTTGTAGTGAAAGTGCTATCGTTGGTGGCGGCGCGTCAGACAGCGGCTTTTGGAGTGCAGGGCAGGAAGGCTAGGGTTGTACCAGAAGAAGAAATCAGGCGCCCAGTCAGTTACTTGCTCTCAGTACAGAAGTCTGATGGGTCATTTGGTGACCCACATCCAGTGCTACACAGAGGAGTTTTGGTAACCTCGACTGCATGCATGTTAGAACGGGCACATATTACAACAGTATTAGATGGGGCGACAAACTCAATAGCTGTAATTTTAATAAAAAAATTGTCCATGTGTGTTTGATGTAGAAAGGAAGAGACGAAGACTCATCCATGACGGCTTTCATAACTCTTGCACTTCACCGGTCCCTTCAATTCCTGCAAACTGAAGGGAGAAATAATGTGGTGAGATAATATAAAGATGACATTACTGTCCTGAGTGACTGTTTATAGCCATGCTAGTGGTGTTGCTGTTGGGATGGCAGTTTTTGTCAGTCCATCACTTTGGTCCAGATGGTCCAAGGGATTGTCATGCAATTTTGCAGAGGATGAATTCTGATGACTTTGGTGATCCCTTGACCCTTCCTTTAGCAGCATCAGCAGATTAAAGTTTTCAACTACCCAGGAAAATATCTAAACATTTACTAGAGGGAGTGGCACACACTTTTGTACAGACATTATTTTGGACCTGACTTCTCCTTTGAAGTCATGAACGCTTGGTTTTGAGTTAAATGTTTGGAAGTCTCCAGATGGACTGTAGTATCAAAGGTTAAGTGTGGGACATCTAGTGGTGAGGGTTGCAAATTGTAATGAACAATTGATATAATCTTTATTTGTAGAGCACTTTTCAAAAAGTTAAAGTGCTTTAACAAGTGTAAAGACAATAACCAAAAGACAATACAAGATAAAGGCAAGAAAACACTGAAAAGATAAATATAAAATAAGTAAAATAAAAGGGATAAAATAAAGTCAAATAAGATCGGGAAAGGTTCTCCTATAAAAGTATGTTTTAAGAAGGGACTTAAGTTCTGACTCAGCCGACCTGATTTTCTCGGGCAGGCTGTTCCAGAGCCTTGGGGCCCTGACCGCAAACGCTCTGTCCCCTTTAGTTTTCAGTTGAGACTCTGGAACAGACAGACCTCTGCCCGAGGATCTCAAGGTACGTGCTGGTGTGTATGGGACTAAAAGTTCAGAAATATAACAAGGCGAGAGGCCATGAAGAGCTTTAAAAGTGATCAATAAAATTTTAAAGTCAATTCTAAAACATACTAGGAGCCAGTGTAATGAAGCTAAAATAGGGGTAATGTGGTCATATTTCTTTGTTCTGGTTAAAAGCCTGGCAGCTGAGTTCTGGACAGTCTGGAGTCGATCATTAGATTTGGGTTAAAGTAAAAAGGCTGTTGCAATAATCCAGGCGTGATGAGATGAAGGCGTGTAAAATGGTCTCTGTGTCCTAAAGTTAACATAGATGGAACTTTTGCTATATTATTATGATAAAAACATGATTGAACAAGCTTTGTGGTGTGCTGCTCAAAATTTAAATTACTATCAAACCAGACACCAAGGTTCTTTGCAACAGGCTTAATGTGATTTACTAGGGAACCAGCAGATGGCAGTATTTGTTTTGCCATTTGCTGGGACCCGATGACCAGGATTTCAGTTTTGTCTGAGTTCAGCTGGAGGAAATTATTTGACATCAGGAACTCCGCATTCCAGGGTCTGTGGATCTGACGGGCAAGTACATTTGTGTCTCATTAGCACAAATATGAAAAGAAATACCATGATTATGGATAATATGTCCAAGGGGAAGCAGATACAAAGAAAACAAAATGGGTCCTAAGACCGACCCCTGAGGCACACCATATTTAACTGGACAGAACGAAGAGACAGTTGTTTACAGACACAAAACTTCCTATTTGACAGGTAGGATGAAAAACCATTCTAGGACAGCACCCGAGATCCCCACCCAGTGCCTCAGTCTGTCTAACATGATGTTGTGATCAATGGTGTCAAAAGCAACACTAAAGGTCCAGGAGTACCAGGACTGAGCACATGCCTTCATCAGCAGACAAAAGGTCATTGGTGACTTTAAGCAGGGTAGTCTCAGTGCTGTGGTACTTCCTGAGACCAGATTGAAACTTCTCAAATATTTTGTGATTTTCCAGTACAGTGAGCAGCTGTTTGGACACAATTCTTTCTAAAATCTTTGCAATAAAAGGCAGTTTTGAAATTGGTCTAAAATTATGTGGGAGGGAGGGATCTAAACCAGGTTTCTTTAAAAGTGGGTTCACGCAAGCCGTTTTAAAATAATCAGGGACACAACCAGTAGACAGGGAGCTGTTGAAAACAGATCAAATGGGGGCCAACAGAATCCATTACTTTCAGTAAAAACTTTGTAGGCATTATATAAAGTGGGCTGGAGGACACTCATTTGTGATACTGTTTTTAAAAGCTCAGACAAGTCGATGGGATAAGACTTAAAACTCTTGTTGCTGGTGAGGAACCTCTGAGTAAGAGGCCGCGGGGGTAATAGAGGCTCTGATTAACACCACCTTATTGGTAAAATAAGATAAAAACAATTCACAGTCATCATTACTTCCAGCTGAGGCACAAGGAGGGGTTGGGTTTACCAGCTGATACAGTCTTAGACAGAAACCTGGGATTGAGTTTATGTGTAGTAATGAGTTGAGAAAAATAGTGTGTTCTCGCATCCTTAATCATGTTATTCAGACTGAGGTAATGGACTGGATTTTTTGAACTGAATTCCCTTTTTAGGCTGCAAATGTTCATGTTATGTCATTTATCCAGGGTTGCTTACTAGCTTTAGACGTAGGCTTAACCTTTAGAGGAGCAGTAACATTTAGTGACAACAAGCAGATATGATTGAAGTGATCAACCAGATTGTTGGTGTTGGAATCAGACAGTTGTTGGCTTTGGCTCTGAAAGAATGTGAATGTCACACTTTGTCGTATGTGCAGGCAGGAACAGGCATAGGACCCAAGCGCAGGACAAGCAGGCGGGACAGATACAGTCTTAGAATTTATTCAGAAGGAACTAAACTTACAGCAGAGTCCAAACTAAGGTTGTCCGCAGAGCAGCAAAAACAGTCCATAACAAAGGATCCAGGGGAAGACAGAACAAAAGGATAATCCAACAAATGAGGGTGCGCGGGTGCGCCGGCAACACGACAGCAAATGAACATACAATGAACCAGCAACAGCTAAACAGAAGCAACAAACATTTAAGCACTGGCTAACGAGGGGGGCGGGAGCACAAACAGGTGATACTAATAATGACAGCAGACAGACACAGACTGGCAGGGTGATGAACAGACAGGAACACAGACAGATACCAAACAGGCCCGAACTACCAACAAGACCACAGACAAATACCAACAGAAATATGAATACATATAAACAGACATACAGGGTACAAAAGACCAAGGACATAAGACAAGACAAGATACTAAAACTACAAATAACATGACTGAAAACTAAATGATCAAAGCAGAACAGACATGCCCACAGTGTGACAGTGCAAAACCTTGAAACACTTTGTTCATTAAAGATGTGAGAACACACAGAGCTTGGTGAGGCGGCATGAGTAATAGGCGAATCGCAGCTAAAAACAATACATCTGTGGTTAGATATGGTCATGTCCACTAATTCCACAGAGGAAATGCTGACACCCAGGGTAAAAACCAAGTCCAGTGTATGACCACGGTTATGTGTTTGCCCTTTGACATGTTGTTTGAAGTGGACATATTTAAAAAGTCAGTTGCATTAAAATTGCCACAAAGAACAATTCTGTCATAATTTAAAACCAGAGTAGATAAAAATTCAGAAAGTTCTGATAAAAATCCTCCAGGCGGTTTTGAGGGGCGATAAATTATAACAAATATGATAGGTTGCAGCCCTCCAACTTTAAGAGTGAGAACTTCAAAGGAGTTAAATTCATCACAGCGTACTTGATGACATTTAACATTTTTCCAATACACGCTCACTAGCCCACCACCACGCCCACTGACCCTCGGTTGACTAAAAAAATCATATTGAGGCGGACACTGTTCAGCTAGCTGGCTATAGTCATTCATTTGCAACCGTGATTCAGTTAAAAACATAAAATCTAGATTTGCAGACAAGATAAAATCATTTAAGATAAAAGTCTTACTTGACAGTGATCTCACATTGAACAGAGCCATTTTAAATGTTTGTTCTAGGTGCTGGAGTTGGTGCAGTTGATTACTATGGTTTACTGGTCTATGCGTGATGATGACAGGAATAGAAGTCTTTGGAACAGCGCTGGGAGCAGATGGTTTTACATGCCAGCATGTGGAGACAGTTGTTTGTGGCTGTGAGGCAGAGTTATGTTCAGTGACCGGTGGTGTGTCCAGGTGTGCTGCATGAATGATTAGTCATTCACGTCATTCACATTTTAATGGACATTTACCCTCAAATTTGTTTGTGTTCATTTGTGTGCACAGCCTTCAAAACGAATATGTTTTTATTCAAAGTCTGAAAGTATAATCATTATTGATCCCTTGATGGGCACACTGTCTTGTTATCGTAACGCTGGTAGCAGTAAAAAATAAATCTGTTTTTCCACCATGGCAGTATTATGTGAAGGTTAGGTGGCTGATCTGAACTTCCACGCTGTGCAGTTTTATTGCCAATAATATTCATCAGCTGTTTGTCCGGAATCAGAGCCTTCCATCTAGGGGTCCAAGCCCGAGAAGGGCATGGGAACGCAAATGCAAGGATCCCGGTTCCCAGACCCAGCAGGGCTGGGAACCCCATTGTAATCGTAAGGATTTTTATTTTTATTCTTCCGTACATAAAAGTGATACTGCAGCCTAGACGTTAAGTGCTACAGATGCGACAACTCATAGGGTAGGTAGAGACACCCAAGAGTACCTCAGGTGCAAACATTTACACCAAACTTAGCACGGACCACCTCTGGACAAAGCTGATAAAAGTTAGTGGTCCCCAGATTGATGCACGAAAAGAATTTATAAGCTAACAAATGTTTACACAAAATGCTGAAAACAGGAAGTGATGTCATATCTTTGGTTTGGAAAGTTCGATCAACACCAAACTTGGTGTCCTTATGGGGCATAGCTTGATGAGTGGCTGTGCGAAATGTGGTGCAATTAGCTCCTAGGTGGCGCTATTTACACGAAATGTTTGTTCCTCTATAACTCCTCTGAACCGGCAAGTCCAATTGGCACCAAACTTCAATCTCGGACGAAGCTGATCAAATTTAGAGATCCTCAGATTGATACGTGAAAAACTGTTCCAATTATAATAATAAATGTTTACACCAAACGCTAAACACAGGAAGTGATGTCATTTCTTAGCTTAGGGATGTCAGATGTACACCAAGCTTGGGGAGCCTTCCTGAGGGGCTGTATGAAATTTGCTGTCAATCGGCCTCTAGGTGCCGCTGTTAATCCATCCATCCATCGTCAACCACTTATCCTGCGTACAGGGTTCAGCGGGGCTGCTGTTAATCGATATCAGATAACACTCTCATAGACATACATTCATCTTATATCTCCATAACCACAACTCCCTTTAATATGAAACTTATAAATTATTAATTATTAAGTTATTCACCATGTGCCACATTTCATGCAATACAGACAATGGGTGGCACTGTTATGGCAAACTCAGCGGTGCAGGAAAATGTAATTTCAATGTCGACATTACTCTGTAACCCCGTTTGTCCGTTTTCGGCTACTGTAGAAGCATGGTGACGCAACATGCTGATCTCCATGTAAGGGGGACCCACAGTTATGTTGGTAGAAAAGTCTCATTCTAAGGTTCATTATGTAAAGTCTTTATACAACACTGAAAACATAGTTATGAATCTTATAAGGCATTTGTGTCAATAAATCCTTTGTGTGAAAATCTATTAATAAAACGTATTCACTATTATTTATGGCCTGCACAAATAATGACATTTTCTCAGCTGTACTTTGTGTTTTGAGCTAATTACCAAATGTTGGCACGCTACAAAGGTAAATAAGATGATGAAGTGAAAGCATTATGAGCATGTTAGCATGTTGACGTTGCAAAAAAAAATCCTGCACACTGTCTAACTTGCAAAATGTATTTATAAGCTGGCAATGTACTGTACCATCAACAGGCATGTTGAAGTTAAGCTCAGCCTCACAAAGCCACTACTGAGACGTGTTATAGAGGAGACACGCTACTCAATCACTTCCTCAATACACTGAATTAAAATTTTGAATTGACTGCCTACATGTTATTTTCTAACAGGAAGCAAGCATTTCAAGATCAACAGCATATCTCCTGTCACACCTTGAAGAGCTTCAGCATCCCTATGCTGTTGCCATTACAGCCTACTGCCTTGCTGCTTGTCTGCCAAAGGAAACAGATCATTCATCTGCCTGGACAAAACTTCAAGCCCTGGCTAGTGAAGGCAGGTCCAATCAAATAAAATCGGTGTGGGTGATATAGAAATAATATATTGAGCTATCATCTCATCTAACCCTAAGAGCAAAAATAAAATGTAAAGTTCATTAAAATTATGTATGACAACATGCCATTGTTTAAAATAGATTTAATTTGAGTTAGTTATTAGTTTTTACTTATTCTTTTTACCTATGTCTATTTCTTAATTATCAGGGAATAATGGCTGTTATCTGTGGACAACTGATGCCAACCAGAATCGTGAGAGGGCAGATGTCATCACAGTAGAGACTACAGCCTATGCCCTCCTAACAGCAGTGGAACTTGGGCATACCGAGTGGGCAGACAAAGCAGCCTGCTGGTTAACCACCCAAGAAAACTATTTTGGAGGCTACAAATCAACACAGGTGACTGCGATGCTAGATTGAGGATTGTTTGGAAAGCAAAGATTCCCTGTCTTGGGGCATGGACACTGTATCCCCTGTGTGATCACACAGTCCAGATTAACCATCAGAGTAGAGATGTTGAATATGTTATTGATGATTTATTACCATGTCAAGGATACCATCATGGCATTGGAAGCCCTTGCGGAGTATGAGCTAAAGAGGTCTGTCAGTCCTGAAGCAAATCTAATTGCAGAGTTCACCGTTCCAGGAAAAAAAGACATTGTAAAGCTTGTGCTGGAAAATAAGAAGGAGAAGGTGGAAACAGACCTTAAGGTATCATAGAGCACTGTCAGCATTACACTTAAATATACACATAAATATTTTACCTCATTCTTAGATGACTTATTTTTATATTGTCTTTTGTCCCAGAAACTTACAGGGAACAACATTGTTGTGCAATTGACAGGAAAAGGCAATACCAAGCTAAAAGTAAGTTAGATTAATACTTGTTTATATGCTGGAAGACAGCCATCATTTACAGTAATCATCAAACTGTTTGGCAGGTTGTGAAGGCTTACCATCTACTGGATCCCAAGGACGATTGTAACGAAGTGTCTATCAGCGTCACAGTGGAGGGGAAAGTGAAGTACACTGGTGAGCTTTTATCACTAATAACAAATCACAACCACTTGAATTGCTGATAAAAGCTACACAGTTACATTAACCTCTGTATCTGTAGCTAAGGTGATAGAAAATTATGAATATTATGATGACTACGATAATGACGAGGAGAAGGAGGCACGAGTGCCACGATCAGCCATTGAGTGGTTTGATGCTCGCACCCGAAACAGGAGAGATCTTGATAACAACTTAAATTCAGACGAGACTGTCACCTACAAAATCTGTGTCAGGTTAGTTAATGAGGTTCACATCTCTTGCTCTTTATAAGTATTCATGAGACAATGCACTTGTCTCAGCCCATATTTTTCATTGTTTTCCTGTGTGTAGTCATAGCCTGAACAGCAATCTCACAGGAATGGCCATTGCTGACATCACACTTCTAAGTGGATTTGAGGCTGTAACTGAGGATCTGGACAGGGTTAGTAGCTCTCTTTACCTCCTCGTCATCATTGTCATCCTCAGTGCAAAGTAGGAGGAGCCATTTTGGATGCTTTATGTCTGCTTTAAAATCAAAAATGTCCATTCTTGTCTCCTCATAGCTAAAATCGCTACCTGAACAATATATTTCTCATTATGAGGTCTCCTATGGAAGAGTGCTGATCTACTTCAATGAGGTAAGGCTCAAATCTATTAACATAGACAAAAATATTCCATGTTCATTACTAAAAGATTTCTTCTCTCACTCTAGCTCTTTGAATCAGAGGAATGTATTAGTTTTGATGCTATACAGAGAGTACCAATTGGCCTCCTACAGCCTGCTCCAGCTGTGTTCTATGATTATTATGAACCAAGTAAGCTTTTTATTTGATATTTTCTGCATTGTTTGCCAATATAGAAGTGGCGTCTTTGCTTAATTTACCAGGAATTTATTAACTGCTTGTACTTTCCTTGCAGACAGAAAGTGTACTGTGTTCTACAACGCCCCCCAAAGAAGCAAGATGGTCTCCAAACTGTGTTCAGAGGATGTGTGCCAATGTGCAGAAAGTAGGCCATTTACTTTCACAAACCCTCACTGACCTGTAAAAATATAAATGTAGCTTTACCCATCAGGTTTGTGTAAAGAATAAAAATTGCATTAATGTTCATCTTTTCTTTAGGACCTTGCCATAAAATACAAAATACATTCCAGTCACAAAGAGGTAAAAAAATCACAAAGAAAGAACGTTTACAACACACTTGCTTCTTCCCTACAGTAGATTACGGTCAGTACTGCATTCAAGACATTTATTTAACATCAACTTGACTGTAAAAATCCATTCCTTTAGTGACACTGTACAAAAGTATGCAATTGAACGGCACAGATGATGTTGATTCTTGTTTTATTTCAGCATACATTGTTGAAGTCCTCAACGTTTCTCTGAAGAGTAACTTTGAGTTGTACAAAACAAATGTAAAGGAGGTACTCAGATCACGTAAGTAAGCTTTAACCACAAGCCTTAGTAGATGCTGTAACACTGACCTTTAAATAGTTGTGTGGTATTACATTTATGCTTTTATAACATAACATAACATGTTTCTACCAGATGGAGATGTCCATGTGACTGAGAATTCAGCTCGAGTGTTTGCTAAGAGGCGTCAGTGTAAAGGACAGTTAGATTTGGGAAAACAGTATCTCATCATGGGCAAAGATGGCTCCACCACCGACTCAAACAGAATGTAAGTATAGTCAGTAATATTAAGTATTATTTTACACTTATTGATTCTCACTCTGGTCACTCTGCCTCTTTTTGTAGGATGCAGTATCTGTTGGAATCAAACACCTGGGTTGAAAAAAAGCCTTTGGAAGAAGAATGCAAAAAATCTGCTCATAGAGCTGCCTGCACAGGGTTTAATATATTTACAAATGAGTATAAGATTAATGGCTGTAGACAGTGAAACAGAGAATGTTTCATTTAACTTTAATTTTAATTTTATTATAAGTCAGTTACAGTAGTTAGCTTGTTAGCGAAGTGAAATTCTAACATGAATAAAGTTCTAACAATAGGTCCCAGCAAGGTGGAAAATTGAGGCAAAAGCTCAGAGACTTTAAATTCTACCAAAAACTTTGACATGGAGGTTTTGGGGTGTTTACATTTACTAAGTATAAAGTAAAATATCAATAATGCCATAAAGATCTGATGCATTCCCTTGCAGTTGTGGTTTATTTCAAATGTAAACGTAAAGTTAATTCGTTGTCCACTCTGTGTAATGTTGAATTGCAACTTATACATACACTAATCTGGCGGCACGGCAAGAAGGTTGTAGGCAAGAAGGTCGTGGGTTCAAACCCCGGTTGCCCCGGCCTTTCTGTGTGGAAGTTTGCATGTTCTCCCTGTGTCAGTGGGTTCTCTCTGGCTTCCTCTCGCCATCTAAAAACATGCAGGCTAGGTTGATTGGTTACCCTAAAATTGCCCTTAGGTGTGAATGTGAGCACGAGTGGTTGTTCATCTATGTGTGGCCCTGCGATGGACTGGCGACCTGTCCAGGGTTTACCCTGCCTTGTGCCCAATGTCACCTGGGATTGGCTCCAGCCCCCCCGCGACCCTGTACGCGGGATAAGTGGTTGACGATGGATGGATGGACATACACTAATCTGCTTCAACATAGGTTTTTTTTGTATCTCTGTTTATTGTACCTTACACAAAGCTGTTCATTGGGGAAAATAAAGTTTCTGATCTTGTCTCTTTATCTTTGTTACTTGGTCAGATGATAATGCGATAATAGTCTGTGTGTAAATCTTATGACTTTTCTATTTTGCCAGATCAAAACTGAGTTTGGCAGTTTACTAAATTCCATTCAGCATACAATCAGTTCACTGATGAATACAGTACATCACGCATGATATGGATTGTGAAATGACTAGTGAACTGCAGAGGACATATATTATTACACATATTAATAAATCTGATTCACTAAATTAAATGAATTATTGTTTACAGATAGACTTGAGCTCCACTTTGCAAATCCTTCCTGAACTATGTGTTGTAGAGTCAACAGCACTCACTCTATCCCAAACCCAAAGAGCCAAAACTTGATTTCTTGAAAATCACATGATTTGCATTGACCAATGAGGGAATGGTTACACATTGTGAAGTAGAAACTAACACTTTCCATGCTGCAAGTCAACCAGTGATATAAAGTGGACTTCTATAAAATCAAGCACGTAGTCTGAAATACAGGAAAATATTTGAAACATCACTGAAGACAAAAAGTGTTACATTTGAACAGGTCTGGTTTTGAACTGGTTAACAGCAGGTTCCTTTTCTGCAGGATTGTAAAAGACAGAATCACATTAAAATACAACATAACACAAAAGACCACAACAAAACACAAACAGCTACACAGACACTGCATGTACAAGATCCTGAGTGGATTGAGTAAGATGGTATTTGTGAGTTGGATCAGTGGTTGCAGGTCTTTTTATTGCCAGATAGTACATGCAACATGAGAAATCACATGAGGACTGGTACTTCTTTCTAAGTTGTCTTGGAAGAAAATAAAAACAGTGGGAGGGCATTGAGATATCCAGCGATTGAGAAATACAGGGGTGGGTGACTAACAAAACCTCAGTTAATTGAAAGCCTGTGTCAGAGCAGGCAAAGAAATTGGAGCTGCACAATGAAGTGCTTCATCTTTTCGATACTGTTCCTGATCTTGACTATGGAATCTGGGTGTTCAATGGAAAACGGGTAAATGTAGGAACAGCTGCATGAATCTATATTATGCAATAATGTAATGTAATGACAATCTGTGTTCTATGCAAAGAGGGTTACATTTTGGTTTCTGTCTTCTAAGAGTTGATGTCATTAGGCATTAAATAATTTACGTGTATATTCAGCATGATGATTATGTTATTTTGTATAATGTAACAGAAGACAAAATATGCAACATTGTACGAATGCAAAATAATGAAGGATACAGTAAGTGCTATTTTTCTACTTTGTGTGCAGATTCTTTATATCAGCCCCCCACAGTGTTTCATGTGGGTGTAAATGAGAAAGTTTTTGTCCAGATGGGAAAGTTTCATATCAATAATTCTGTTACTCTATACCTGGAGCGTGAGGATGAGGCTGGCAGTACTCGTGTGTCTGAAAAGAAAACTGCTCTGTGTACAGCAGAAGGGAAGATCGAAATTGTTGAGCTCATGGTATGAAACTTAACCACTCATACAAAAAGCTAACAATTTAGACAGAACTGAAATATCATTAACCAAAACTTCAAATTTGCATTTTTACAGGTAGACAAAGAAATTATGTCAAGATTTCCCCAAAATTATGAACATGCCCACCTTAAACTGGTGGCAGAGAGCCTCTCCTTTAGTGGCAGGAAGGAAACAAAGGTTCTGGTATCAAAGCGCAGGGGCAATATCTTTATTCAGACTGATCAGCCAATCTACAGCCCAGCACAAACAGGTAAATAGAAAGTCAACCGATGTGAAAGGATTGTAAGACAATGTGAAATAAAGCCATTTTATGTTAATGATCTCTCTTCTAGTGAAGTACAGGATATTCACTCTTGACCACACATTCAGGCCTCATGAGGGAGTGTTCCTCATCTCAGTATTTGTGAGTATAGATTTTCTCAACGAATAAAGAGGACTTTGAAAGATGTGCACACATTATTTTGATGGTTTCATTTCATGATTTATGCTTTTATCATTTTATGACAGAATTCTGCTGGAAACAGAATAATGAAGTCCCTTAAGTCTGCAAAGGGAGGAATACTCAGAGGCACATTCCCCATACCTGATGTCTGAGTATGTAAAAACAGATTTACAATAAACTGCCTCTAACATAACAGCACAATCAACTTTTACATAACACATATTTGGTTTACAAAGAATAGGCACATGGAAGATTACAGCACATTATGAAGGTGATGAAGCAAATGTTGTTTCTCGAGAGTTCAGAGTCCAAAAATTTGGTAAGCTCATTTGATTGAAGTATTTTGCTTCTTAAAAACACAAACAAATCCTATTTCTTCCTGCTAAATGTTTTAAATATTTTTTACCAACCCTAGTTTTACCAAGTTTTGAGGTGAACATCGCAATGGAGCACAACTATATTTTGTTGAATGCTGACAAGTTTGACTTCAAAATCTTAGACAGGTAAGTGTAAAATTACTTTCCATTAAAGCGAGGGGGAATTCATCCTCAGCACTGTACCATGCAAAATTGTTTATTTCTGTGTATAATTTTATACTTTTTTGTATATATGCATAAAGGGAAAAACAATCTGCATCTTATTTTACAACCCTGTTTTAATATGGCAATACATTTACCTTGTACCTCTTTAACTTATTTCTAATGATAACTAGATGCTCAACAACTGTCTTGTCATAAATCCTCAAAATAATCAAAAAGTGTCTTAACAGGTCTGTAGAGCTGCAGATTTAGACAAGCATGTACCATTAAGTGACCCCTTTCAAATTACCCTAGTCATTTGATTCAATATTAATAAAAAATGTTGATTAATGCAATGTTTTAATAAAAACATAAAGCTTAGCCTATAATGCTAGTCCACATATTTTAAAATATAGAATGCATCTTTTTTTCTTTAGGTATTCACATGGTGAGGAAGTTAACGGGGCTTACCACTGCCAGTTTGGATTGGTGAAAAAAGATACACATGGTCAGAAAATGAAGCCTGTATATATCAGTTGGCTTGAGTTAACTGGTTCGGTGAGGAAACTGATATCTGTCTCAAATTTAGTGCTGCTTATTTCAAGATCTGGGATCAGATAATCTGGCAACATATTGCATTTCTTGAAAATCAACGCCTTATTCCATTTCTTGCAGGTTCAGAATGGAACTGGAACAGCTTTTCTCCAGATGGCAGACTTACATGAGCACCTCCAAAAACAGCAGAACCAAACCCTCTCTGAATTACAGCAGAGTGGAGCGCAACTGTACTTAGGAGTATTTGTCACCAACATACAAAGTAAAGGACACTTTTTCACACTATATACCAATTTTCAAGTCAGCAAACTCCCAAAAGAGTCAAAAATGTAATTAGGGTGTAAAGAGAGAATATATTGTGTAAAACATTTGGTGTTGTGTCCAGAAGTAGGCTATGTGCTGTGCACAGTACAAGTCTGATGTTTACTCATGGTTAGTGTTAAATGGCCAGACATCTGGTTTCTGTCTGGCCATTTAAGCATCTCCAGGGCACAATAACTCTGGATGTTGCAAAATGGTATTTAAAGTTGTGTTGAAATACAGTAGTTTGACTCGTGTGTAAAAGAAGTTAAATAGAATCATCAAGTTAAAATAATACCACAATCATGTTTCATAGAATATACAGTCATGGCCAAAAGTGATGATCACCCCTGCATGTCTATCACATAATGGACTACTTCTCCCAGAAAATTGTTGCAATTACATATGCTTTGGTATTCTCATGTTCATTATATATACAAAAAAACCTGCAAAAAGAAGCCATATCTGAGAGCAGATCACACCAAAACAAAACTCCAAAAATGGAGTGGACAAAATTATTGACACCCTCAACTTAATATTTGGTAGCACACCTTTTAGAAAAAAATAACTGAAATAAATCACATCCTGTAAACATCAATGAGTTTCTTACACCTCTGTCATGGAATTTAGAACTACTCTCCTTTTGCCACCTGCTCCAGATCTTTGAGATTTGAAAATTTTGGTTCTCAAATCCTCTATATTTCTATTCTCTCTTTTGTTTTAAAGGAGCATCACATGCTTGAAATACAATTATTTCTGAAGATTTTGGAATGGTGGAATTATTTTATCCAGTCCCTTTTTGGAGTTCTGTGTGGATTGTATTACATTACTGTCACGGTTTTGTGGTGAAGGCAAGGTGGAGCAGACCCAAACACAGGACACAGAGCGGAGCAGTTTAAGTTCAGTGGTTTTAATATAACAAAAAGCGAGCACACTTACAAACATAGTGGCTGATAGACTGAGTCCAAAAACAAGGGCTGTCCAACAGAAATACAAAATCCAATAACGGCAGGGAAACAGGGAGAGACAACAAGGCTGACGACATGAAACACACTGCTACACAGAGTGACAACATACATTGACCCAACAAAGCCAAGACAGAAACACCAGGTATATATATATATATACACACACACACACACACACACACACACACACACACACACACACACACACACACACACACACACACACACAGGGACTAACGAGCAGGGCGGGAGCAACACAGGTGAAAGACATGAGGCTAATGAGGCACAGGCAGGGAGAGAGAGCAGGGGAAAACAGAGACAGACATGCAGAGGGATAACTGGTGTAACAGACATGACAAGGGTTACCAAACACTAGACGACAGACAAGATAGACCCCCAAAACCCAACATACTATAAGGCAGATACTAAACTCAAAAGTGCAACACAAAGAATGGCTGACCGGCAGAGCGTGACAATTGTGTGACAGACGTGCAGGTGGACCCATATTTTTGGCCATGACTGTATGACAATAGTACAGACAAACCTTATATATTATATTTTTCGATAAAAGTGCTACAAGAATTTCCTAAACAGTACCATATTGTCACTTAATATTGAATTTTACTGACAGACCTGAGAAATAATTTGGATATTGTGAAAACAATAACACTAATTCTTTTAATGTTACTATTACTACTACTACTACCATAATAATAATAATTGTAATAAGAATAAGAATAAGAATTAATCTCAGAATTTAAGGATTATATAATAGGATATTGTGGTTTTTCATTACATCTAATATCTGCATTTTTTTGGTCCAGGCGGTGAAATACAAGAAGCAGAAGTTTACCTTCTTATGATTTCTCACAAATACACCATCGATCTTTCTCGAACCCGCTCATTTCACCTTCCAGGATATCTGCTAGATGTGGTGGTAGGCATGGAACTAACACATCGGTTCACAGTTATGTACATGACTGTGATGAATTTGTATGTAAAAAATGTTGTTTGTTTGTTATTATAGGTGGTCCTGCGTCTCCCAGATGGCTCCCCAGCAGCTGGTGTGCCAGTAAAGATTGATGTACCAGAATCTTCAGAGAAATCGTTGAATGCCACTACTAACCAGGAGGGGGCAGTGTATCCTGTGTTTAATATTCCCAATGTGTATTGGATTACTGTTAAAGTTAGTATCCCTAAACAACAATAAGTTAAATGGTCTTATCAAACTGATAAACCACTAGAGTTTTGCTTTAGTATAGTTTAACTATTTACACCCTAACTTCATCAGGTGTCGGCAGATGGCCTTCAGGAATGGAAAAGAATTCGTCCTCCTTCACCTTGAAATCGCGGCTACCTTTACCTGAGTATTACCAACAAGATGTACTCTGTGGGCGAGTTCCTAACTGTGAATTATAACACCATGAATGGCCAAAAACATGGGTTTATATACTACATGGTGAGATATCTGAGTCAATACATCAGGGTTTGTGTTTAAAAAGAGAAACAACAGTTTTTTATATTTAACATTTTTATGTTGTAGGTCTTAAGCCATGGGATCCTAATAAAACATAGACAACATACAGATAACGCCTGATATGGTGCCATCATTCCGTCTGATTGGCTACTACTACAACCAGCATGGTAACATCATTGCTGACTCGGTGTGGGTAGATGTCAGGGATGAATGTGAGATAAAGGTCAAGGTGAGTAAACAGAACAGATAAAGTTGCAGCCTGAGAGTGCCTTGGTATTGTTGCTGCGGCCGATTATTCCGAAACCACAATAGTCAGAAAATGGTCACTGGACCAAAAGTTTGTCCAACAGCCTGTAACGGCAACACCATTGCTCCAAAAATACACTCTTCAAACAACATCTGAATAGATTTTACTGTCACAGACACATTTCCAATGTCAGAATCAAGTTTTACCTCAGTTAGTGCTCACCATAGTTGTTAGATGTAGGCTGATCAAAAACTCAGTCGGAGCTGTCTTGATAGCCTACAGTCTCTATGCCTTGGCTGTTCTGATACAATCAAGTGACAAACATCTAACCCAGCTTTTCTCTTGGCCAAATTATACTCAGTTTTTGTTTTTTTGCGCTACTACTAAAAGTCTTCAAATGGTTCTGAATGCTGCAGCTAGGGTCTTACAAAAAAAAGAAAGTAACTGATTCTGCAGAAAGAGTGTTGTTGTCAAACAAATACACCCCTCCCTGCTGTGCATTCTCAGAAACTCTGCCTCTCACATTCTCTCTCCTTGGTGCCTGGAGTCTAGCATGCCTGAATGTGCCATAGACTGCTCCTGTGCACGAGCATGAATACCACTTGTTGCTGGTTGGCTGGAACAATGTTGTGGGGAAGGTCCGCACCACTTTCTTTGTGTTCCTTTTGCAACGGAAAACATTTTATACAGAGCACACACAAAATGGTGAGCTACTGTATTTGCTGAATTTAACAAAAAGTGTATTGGATTACAATCACTTACTTCACCAAATTTAGCTTCACTTCACTGGCTCCCTATCCATGTCAGATTGGACTTCAAGGTGCTTCTGTTTTTGGGTTTTAGTTTTGTAATTTCCTGTTTATTTTGAAAGAATCCTTCCTCATATGTCTTGTGTAGGCTACTTTACTTCCTGCCTTTGTGTATTGTTCTTACTTGTTTTGATTTTCTGCCGTGCCCTAATTAGTTTCACCTGTGTCTTTTTATCCTCCCCTCACTTGAGTTTAAGTCAGTATGTTTCCCCTTGTCTTTTGCCAGTCGTCTTCATCGATTTGTCAAGCGTTCTTACTTATTGGATTATTTCGATTTTAGATTCTTGCCTTTTCCCATTTAGATTTATTTGCCTCTTTGGACTGCTTGCCTGCTTAGACCCTTGCCTGTCTCAACTCTGTATCGTAAGCTTCTTCTTCTTCTTCGTATGGATTTACAGCAGTTAGACACTTCTAGGCGTATTACTGCCCTCCTCAGGAAGTCGCTATAATGAAAACGTTACTACTTCAGATTTTTATATATAGCCCTGTATCGTGTAAGAACTGTAATACTACTTTGACAATCAAGTGGTTGTTTTGATTTTGACCCAATGTAGATTTGACTGGAATGGAATTCCACTCATTAATAAGTGGAATTTACTTATTCTATGTTTCCTTCAGGTTTATGTGTAGTTAAGCCACCTGAGGTCAAAGCATCGAAGAGGGCATTTGTGTCTCTACAACTATGGCTCTGACAGCCTACAGGTAGCTATAACCTAATGGCACTTAAAACAGTGACCACCTGATGGACATCTTAATTGGCAATTTTTTGTTTTATTTTCCTCCCTGGACACCTGCATTTTTATAGGTAGCAGTTCATATGGAACAAACTGAAGGACTTTGCTCCCCCGGATCAGCCACCACTACATCTTTTGTCAACATTACTGTGGAGCCACAGTCTTCCCAGTTTGTGTCCTTCTCGGCTGTCCCCATGGTAACTGGCTCCATACCCATCAAAATACGTCTCTATGATATAGAGAATAGATGGGGGATAGATGCAGTTGAGAAGGCTTTGAATGTGTTGGTGAGTGACAAAAACATGCATCACTTCCAAATGTTTTCAGTACTTGTATTTTCAAGAAGATTTGTGACAAGAAAGTGCCACAAATAGTTTGAGTTGCTCTGGAAAAATCATGGCCTGTTTAAGGGATAAGTACAGAAGCCCTAAGCAGCCATCCATTAAAATTTTAAGTCAGTGTCTGTCTTCTTATTTTTTTTCTAGAGATTTTGAGATAATGAATGTTGTTTTCCCATGATAAAAGGATAATTGTCTTGTGATATCATGATAACAAACGATAGCTTAACACAGGTGCGTCCCCTGGATAATTTATAAATTAGGATAATTTCTGAAAAAATTTCAGTGTCACTGGTTAGCTCAGTTGCTTGAGCAAAGGGCACAGCTTTTCGACGATTTATTTTTCTTCTTTTGAGTGTTTTCTTTTATTATCCTCTTCAACAAAGTTGTTATGAAGAGATTCAGGGGATTCCAATCACACATTTCCTGACCGCTATTTCAGGTTCCGAAATAGCGGTCAGGAAATGTGTAACATTAAATGGATTCCCCTGAATGAGAAGCGCAGGAATTTCCTCTGCCTGGAAATGACAGGGAAATATAAGGGATGTGGACCCATCGCACAGTCCAGAGTCCAGCACATGCTTTATTATGAGCATGTGAAACAGTCTCTTCATAAGAACTTTGTTGAAAATGATTATAAAAAAGATTGGGGGAAATTGGTCTTAAAGCCCCCCTCCAGTGTATTGGTGATAAGATGTTGCCTTTGGTGTGAGAGACCCAGGTTCAATCCCCGACACCAATGTGTCCTTGAGCAAGACACTTAACCCCTAGTTGCTCCAGAGGCGTGCAACCTCTGACATAATTAGCAGTTGTCGCTTTGGATGGAAGTGTCAGCTAGATGAATAAATGTAATGTATTTTGACATTTCTATGATATTTCATATTTTTCTGAGTCATTTCCTCACAATGTTGATTACCCACATTGTTCGCCAAATATTTTTTGACAAATGGCTTAATTTTTTTTAGTTTAGTTAGCTAACGTTAACTTAACTTAGTTGTAATTAGCCAGGTGTAGTTAGCTAGCATAGTTATTGCACAAAGTTAGCTAACAGCAGGTCTTCAATTTATTTTTTAGTTGGTTTAGTTTGCTGTTCATTTTCATTATGGCATTTGCGCGTGCGGTGTTGGAGGACAGATGACAGAAAACGCGTTGCACTTTCACCTGCCGCCGTCTTATTTACAGTCTGCAACATGCATTTACCAATGCATCGGCGGAGGCACCCATCACACCCCGCGGTAAAGTAAGCGCACCATAAAACGTAGTGGGAGTTATCGTGTGCAGTGTGTGACAGGACCATCGACTGTATGATTGATAACAGCTGATACGCGCACATTAGCTTCTATCATAAGTAATAGCTACTCCTGCCAGACAGTAAAGTGTACTAAACTTTACAGTGTAGTGATGTTAACACAGCATATCGTTAGTGAAGATGTCTCAGTCATCCAGGTCATAGTTATCCAACGAACGTTAAAGTCAAGGGCAACTGGACTTGGTTGAAGATACTGGAAGACATTTTGTCCCTCATCCAAGGGACTTCTTCAGTTCTGACTGACTGGTAGGGAAACTCAGCTATTTAACCTCAGTAGGGTCGTTTCCAGGATTTAGGGTATCCACAGGCTGTAAGTGCCCCCTTCAGGTGGTTCTGTTCCTTCTCTCTGGCTTGGGCACTTGTTGGTATGTTTTCCACTCTGTGGTGCAGTGTTCTCATGATCCCTAGCTTGTGCTCCAGTGGGTGGTGGGAATCGAAGAGTAGGTACTGGTCTGTGTGTGTGGGTTTTCTGTAAACACCAATTTGCACTTTTACTTGTCATCTTCAATGTGTACAGCGCAGTCCAGGAAGGCCAAAATGTTGTTGTGAACAAATTCTCGTGTGAAATTGATGTTGCTGTCCACAGAGTTGATGTGTTCTGTGAAGGCTTGCACTTCCTGGCTTTTAATTTAGACCCAGGTGTTGGCTCGGTGCTGTTCCTCTGAAGGAGTTGAGGGCTTTGTTCTCCACTTCTTCCATGTAGATGTTTGCCACAGTCGGGGCTCCTTCTTTGTGTATCTTGGGTAGTCCGTAAATGCATGGAATGGCTTCTCCAGAATACAAATGGTAATATTGTTCACGGTTGATGGTGTTGTCTTTGTTGATGGTGTTTCTTGACCTTGTTCCGCTGTGTTAAGGACTACCATGCATCTTCCTTTGTCAGCTGGTAGGATAGTGATGTTTTTGATCCTTGCTCAGAGATGTCACAGTCTTCCTTTCTTGGATGGTGAGTTTGGAAGGGGGGGCCTTTGCATTAGAAAGGGCTGCAGATACCTTTAGTCTGAGCTGTTCCGCTTCTGTTTCTGTTAATTTGTTTTTCCTAATGGCCGATTCTGTGGCTGTGATGAGGTTCACTATAGGTAGCTGCTGTGGTGTAATGGCAAAGTTTAATCCTTTGGCCAGAACGTCTTTCTCTGATTGGGTGAGTTCCCTATCTGACAGGTTTTTCACCCATCTGTTGTCTGTTTCATGTGTTGTGGGGTTGTTGTCCTTTCTCCTCCAAGACAATTCTCCTGTTTTATTAGTACTGCTCGCTCTGAACTGTAGGTTTTGGAATTTCCGGGTCTGTCTTTCTTTTCTCTTGTTGTGCTGAGATAGCTGTGCTTTCTTGATGAAATCCATGACCTTTTCCAGTGCTGTACTGGGCAGATATGTTTCTAGTTTGTGGTGTATGCTTTGTTCAGGGCTTCAATGGTGAAATGTATCTGTCTCACTCTCTCATTCAGTAGCTGGTGTTGCGCATTCTCCAGGATTATTCTGGCTCTGTGTTCTTTCACCGTGGAGCCTAAGTGTAGGCATTTGGGAATAAGTTTGTGTTGTCGGCATTTCAGGTTAAATCGTAGATGGTTCCTGTAGTCTGCAATTCTGTAGTCTGCAATTTTAGTGAACACTCCAGCCGGTCAGTTTTTGGTTGTCATGGTAATGTATTGCATCCGACTATTAACCACACCCCCATTCTCTGTTTGAGAAAGAGCGTTAACCAAAAACTGCAGTTAAAACTGGCTGGAGGGGGGCTTTAAGTGGGGATTAAACACAGAACCCGTCTGACTATGAGTCCTGTGCTCTACCAACTAAGCTAACCAGTGACACTGATAATTACTAATCTATAAAGAGATAGTATTATGCTCATTTTCAGGGGTTATTTAGGGGTTGTACCAGAACAGGTTTACATGTTTTCATTTTCAAAAAACACCATATTTTTCTCATACTGCACATTTCTGCAGCTCCTCTTCTCACTCTATGAAATCTTTAGCTGTGTTAGCCAACGTTTACAACAACTCCACACTTGAATAGTCTGTGAAGTTACATTCCCGTGTTTCTTTTAAATATAATTCACAACCAATATAGCATACTTTCCAGGCCCAAACAGAGTCAGAGTTGCATCGTCTTTTAGGACTAAACGTTGAACAGTTGCCGGTGTGATCTAACGTTATGCTGCCTTGCCGAAAAATGCTACCATAGAGCAAATCAATAGACTCGACTCTACTCGGCCCTGCTCCGTTTTCCATTGCAGATAGTACCCAGAGATAGTATGTAGCTTGTCGTCATAGCCAGACGCCAGACACAACTGCCGCAACGTAATGTTCAATGCGACACACACACCAGCGATCCACAAAGCTTTCTCTTTTTTAATTTCAAACATTTCAACATTACTCAGAATGTAAAGACAGATAAGCAGTATGAAAACCTTCCAGCTGTGTTTTCCTCTGCCGTTGTTGCTGCAGCGGTCTGTGTGATGGCGGCTGGCCGGCCTCACACGCTCCTCCCGCGGGTTGGCACAGGCATCCCCCACAGCCACTTGCGGAGCTCCTCAACTCCAAAAAAATAATGTCAAAAAATATTCAAGCACATTTTTGTTCTGCCATCACTTCTCGTAAAACTGTCAATATTATATTATTATATTAATAATAAATCTACACAGCTGATTTCTCACCTCAAAACTTCTCAGAAGTGGATTTAGTGATGAAATTCTATACGAAGACTGTAAAATATAATACTTTATGTTGCTGGCCTCTGTCTGGTGCACGCAATGATGATGCAGTGAATAGTGACGATTCTCTCTGACCAATCAGTTTAGTATTCCTCAGCTCACTTGGAATCTCGACGGAGGTGAGGTGACCGAAAAAAAGTACCTGGAAGCAGGTACAGGTACAACATTTCTACAAAGGAAATCCAAACAAAGGAGAGTCGAGCCAAAGGGCCTCCGCTCAGACTAGCTTGGTTTAAGGGCGTGCCTGACCCCGCTAGCCGTTGGCAAGCTTTATGTTTTCACGTTTTCATTGTGACGTCACAAGTAAAGGAAGTGAAGGACTGGACTACAAACAAGCTGTTTTCAAGTGGTTCAGAGCAGTGCTTTTTGTGGGAGATGGGAACTCCCTTTGGGCTGGACTTTTTCAATTTGCAAACCTGTTACTGTTACGGGTGGTGTGGTGTGGGGACAGAGAGGACCCAAATGCAACGCTCAGAGGATAGGAGGTTTATTGAGGGAACAAGGGGCTGAGGGACCGGAGTGGACAGGCACGGGGAACCGAGTTGACTGGGACCAGAGAGCCAGGGGACACTGGGGCCGAGGACGGGAGGATGCAAGGGGGAACTGGGAGGACGCCGTGGGGGAAGCCCGAAGAGGAGAGGACCGGAGGATGAGCCCAGCCGACAGAACGGATGATGAGGGTGAGTGAACCTGGGAGGGAAAACAGACAGAAAGACAGGGTTAGTGACAGGAGCGACAGGGCTGACGAGGTGGCTAATAAGATGGTGCATGTTGCAGGTGCGGGTCGTTGGCTGGGCTCAGGAGCAGAGGGAGAGAACACACACAGGAGAAAACACAGGGAGGCAGGCAGGGAACAGAAAACCGAGTAAAAAGGAGAATAACTGATAAAAAGGAGAAAAAAACCAGGACACTCACCGTCAGCCAGGCTGTCACCACAACAGTTACATGCACAAATATAGCTCAATAAAGGAGAGGGAAAAAGACAAAAAGCATAATACCACCTCTTTAAGAAATGCCCCTGCCTGGTTAGACCACTGTTTTGTTATCTCAAGATCACAATACATTTGTTATTAACGTCAATTGAGGTATTTGTGATGTAATTTGCCTTTAAATGTAATCTTTTTTTCAGAAAAATCACATTCAACAGCACATTTCATCAGTATTGTTACAATTAATTAAGTATCGGTATCATATCAAATTTGAAAGGTTTGGTTTCGCCTAACCTTATTGGGTATGTAGTATAATTTGTCTACTAACAATGTTAACTTAAGTCAACATGCTCGAATACTTCTACATGTAAGTCAAGGGAGACAGTAATGTGGCTCCATTTTCTCATGTTGTAGACAGAAGGACTAGAAAAGAGAGAGTAGAAGAAACCCAGGTGCTTAAATTAGATGGTGAGTTGTGTACTTGCTTGATGGTTGTCATGATTTTTATTTTTCAATATATTTTACGTTTACAATTGCTTTAATCCATTCACTTCTCTCTTGATAGGAAGGAACAGTCAGACGATTGCTATTGATGGAACTTTACCAGATGACATAGTGCCCGACTCTAGCTCCAATATTTTCATTTCAGTGGAAGGTATGTGTTGTTAGACACAGACTTATAATTCACAGACCTTTGTAAATGACAGTGTCTTACTCTTTTAATGTTCTCATCTGACAGGGGATGGATTTTGCAGTTCACATGCAGAGTTCCTTCTTTCTCCCGATAAGGTTGCTAGCCTGATTGTATTGCCTAGAGGATGTTCAGAACAGACAATGATAGGATTGGCTCCTACAGTTACAGCCGTCCGCTACCTTGACCTGAGTGATCAATGGTTTGACCTGCCTGCTGGTGCCAGAGATGATGCTCTTGATAAAATTGAGGAAGGTAAGAAAACATCAAGCAGTTCATTGTATAATGTCTTTATCCTTTTTTGAACTCCTTTTTTTCTGTTTCCAAGAACACACATTTAGAGTGAAGAATAAAAAAGTTGGAACCATACTTGAAGGTACAATGTGTAAGATTTTTAGAATTTCAAAATTAGCAGTTAGCAACTATTTGTATGAATTGGGTCTCAGTTATTACACATTGTACCTCTTTTACATCGTGATATAATTTATAAATTATAAATTATAAATTATAAATTATAAATTATAAATTATAAATTATATAATAAATAAATACACAATAGATAAAATTTTAACTAGTTTATGCAAATTTTTCCTCTTGCCAATTAACAGAGCCTAAAGATGGTGATTGTAGCTTGTTTGTTTCTGTCACACTTTGTTCAACAAAGTATCTCAACAACTTCTGGCAATATTGCCATGCAATGTGCTGTGAATATCAATGGTCCCCAGTGGAATTCTAATTAAATTGAATTGTAATGTTTTGGTTGACCCCACCAATATCCGCACCACCATCCGTGCATAATTTTCACAAAAAATAACGGTATCAAAATAAGATGTAGGTCTTATTACCACGTTTGCACAACATATGATTTTGTATACACAAGAGGAATATAATACTGAAAGAGGATATTTGTAGCACAAGATCTTAACATTTGTGCATTTGTGAATATAAGTGTAGTAAATATGTGAATACATACATGCAGACTTTCTTAACCTGAGACCCAGGACAGGACAAAAGCTTATCACTACACAAGTCTGTTTGAGTGGAACACAAATGGGAGTCCTTGTTCGGATAACCTTAGTGGCCTCATGGGCTTAGCTTATAGAATAATCTAATATGGCATACAGTTGTGTAAGGCCATTGTGTCCCTGGCAAGACACTTAACCCCTAGTTGCTCCAGACGATGAATGAAATGAATGACACTGTCCTTGATGTCAGGAAAAAGTATCACCAGAAGGAGTTGAAAAGAGTAAAGGTAAAGGGTAAAATACATCCCTTATCCCTAATTCAGCAGTTAGGTTCAGTTTCTGTTTTTAGTTTCAAACAGAAATTTGCATCCTGTAGCACCAATTCTAAAAAGTTCTGGGACACTGTAAAATCAATGGGAAACAAGTGCACCTCCTCCCAGCTGCCCACTGCCCTCAAATCAGGGAACATTGTCACAACCGATAAATCTATGATTACAGAGCATTTTGCTGAAGCTAGCCATGCTTTCCACCTGGCTACCCCCTCCCCAGCTAACGGCCCTGCACCCTCTACAGTTTCACGCCCAAGCCCTCCCTCCCGCTTTTCCTTCACCCCTACCCAGACAGCTGACGTGTTGAGAGAGTTACAAAATCTTGACCACTACAAATCAACTGGGCTAGATAATCTGGACCCCTTTTTCCTAAAATTATCTATTTCCTATTATTATTATTATTATTATTATTGCAATCCCCATTAACACCCTGTTCAACCTGTCTCTCTCATCTTCAGAAATCCCCAGAGACTGGAAAGCGGTCATTCCCCTCTTTAAACGGGGAGACACCCTTGACCCAAATTGCTACCGTCCTATATCTATCCTACCCTGTCTGTCCAAAGTCTTTGAAAGCCTAGTCAACAAACAGATTACTAACCATCTCGAATCCCATCGTACCCTTTCCTCCATGCAATACGGTTTCCGTGCTGGTCACGGGTACACTACAGCCACCCTTAAGATTATAAATGACATCATAGCCGCCATTGATAAAAAACATTATTGGGCAACTGTTTTCATTGATCTGTCTAAAGACTTTGACTCTGTCAACCATCACATTCTGATCAACAGGTAAAACTAAGTGCATGCTTTTCAACGATCGCTTCCCTAACCGGCTCGTCTCAATAGCATCACAACGCTAGATGGGTCAGAATTAGAATATGTGGACACTTACAAATATGTAGGTGTTTGGATAGACAGTTCCCTCTCTTTCCAGCCCCACATAAACCACCTTCAATCTAAAATTAAGTCCAGAATCGGTTTCCTATTCCGCAACAGGGCCTCCTTCACTTGTGCTGCCAAACTTGCCTTGGTAAGAATGACTGTTCTACCCATGCTAGATTTCAGTGATGTCATCTACAGATTTGCCTCACACTCTCTCCTGAAAAAACTGGATGTGGTCTACCACTACCAGGGCCCCATTTAATACCCACCACTGCGACCTCTATGCATTAGCAGGCTGGCCGTCGTAACTCACTGGTACCAACTTATTTACAAGTGCTTGCTCTGTTAAGCCCCCCTATACCTACGCTCACTGGTGTCTATATTACCGACCCGTAGCCTGCGCTCAAGCAGGTACATCTCTCTGGTCACCCCAAAAGCCCACACCACCTTCGGCCGCCACTCCTTCCAGTTCTCCGCTGCCAACAACTGGAATGAGTTACAAAAACCCCTCAAGCTAGAGACCCTCATCCGTAAATCTATAATATTTATAGACTGACTATATTTTTGTATATTGTGATTTTTATTTGTGCCATACAACTTATGCATACAATCTGACCTTGAATGGTCGGCACCTGCACTAAATGTACATAGAAGCTACTGCATTTTTAAATATTCTCCTTACAGACTCATTACTGCATTATGTATTTTTGTATTTTGTACTATGTGTATTCAATGTGTAACTATATGTTGTCCTGCACGTCTACACTTTCTTAGCAGGTACTTGCAAATGAGAATCTGTTCTCAATTAGCCTACCTGGTTAAATAAAGGTTAAATAAATAAAAAAATTTAATAAAAAGTTACTTGGACTGTTGCATTAGCAACAGATTAGCTCCAGACAACTAGTATAGTGGCTAGCATAGTTAGCACTAGGATTATCATATAAAAACTTAAACTCAGAGCAGAAGAGCGTTTTTCCCCCCATTGCCCGATTTGATGACAATGTGGAGGACAAACTAGTGGTGGTTTTTACTGGATACCCGGAGCTATGATTTTTCCAACCGCTGTTACCATGACAGAAAATAGCAGGACTGGAGGCAAATTAGTGTTGTTGGTGGCGTACAATTCATGTTTTGTGTAATGTTTACTCACTATAATCAACATTGTAATGTTTAGCTAGTTACAAAGTATGTACGGGCTGATATTTGTGTTAAAAGAATCTCAAATTGAACAATTTAGATCTGAATTTGAATTGCTTAACTTAAGTAATGCATTAAAAACTGAATTTGAATAGCATGGATAGAATAGTATATGAGGTTATGTGTATAACTACATTCAATGTAGCATGTTATCTCCAGCACTGTTGGTACCAGCACTCTTTAATAATATCCAAAGCTATGAGAAACCATTTCTCGACCACCAGCTGGCTCTAAAACATGCCGTCTACGATAACGTTACAGTGACCTGCTGTTGATTACATCTAATACTAACGACCGTCTACAACGACGACATGCAACTTTGAGATTTCATTTACAACTACAACCATAGCTGTTACGGATCTGACTACAACGGTTCACATCTACAACATCACACAAAGAGGAGCTAATTAACTTTGTTTGGCAGGCAGCCATGTTAGATTCTTTCAGCTCATGTTTAATTACATGTCTGCTCTGGTTTAATCATTTCGGACACGCCAACTATAACTGTAGACAGGCAGCTTGCAAATATATTTAGAATACGTCAGAAACTATAGTTTAACAGCTCATTAACATTAGCACTCCTTTAATGATAAACATGGCATTACCATTAAGTAAGGAATTAGGTAAAAATTATAGGACGTTGTGGGGGTGGAGCTGGATTCTCTGTCTGTGGTGTAAGAGAGGAGGATTCTGTCCAAACTACATGTCATCTTGAACAATGTCTCCCAGCAACTCCATGACGTGCTGCTCAAACACAGGAGCACCTTCAGTGCAAGACTCATCACCCCAAAATGCACCACAGAGGGCCATAGGAAGTCATTCCTGCCTGTGGCCATCACACTCACACACATAACTCCTCCCTCTAAGTGGCTGACATGCAGGCCCTTAGTTAGTTATTATACTGGACATTATCACCTGTTTTGTGCATTATTATCTGTGTAATAATTAATGTGCAACATTCTCTGCTGCTATTTATTCTCTGCATTTTTATATTAGTACTGTTCACTTTAACAATTCAACAACATAATGATTCTTTATTAATGCAAATATTGTATATACCTACACTCCTTTATATTTTATATTTATACTCTCATATTTATATACTCTTTATTCTACCTACTTTCTATTATTATTTCTATTCCTGATGCCTTGATAATTGTGCAACTGTGACAAAAGAATTTCCCCTCGGGGATCAATAAAGAAATCAAATGATTTCTGATTCTGATATACACATTTCATAACAAAGTAAATACTTTCTTTGTCAGGTTTTATGGGGATTTTAACATTCAAGACAAAAGAAAATGGATATCCCCCATTTCTTTCAGAGCAACCTAGTAATTGGCGAGTATGTATTTTTTGCAGCCTTACTGATGTAAGAGACTACTTATATCTCACATAGTAAATCAGCTTTTCCTAATTTACAAAATCTCAAATTGAAAATCTATTTTTCCACTCACTCTTCTCCCTTGTTTTTTCTTTCTCTTGTCTTCAGGTTAACTGCCCTTGTAGTGAAAGTGCTATTGTTGGTGGCGGAGCGTCAGAGAATGGCTTTTGGAGTGCAAGGCAGGAAGACTAGGGTTATACCAGATGAAGAGATCAGGCAACCAGTTAGTTACTTGCTCTCAGTACAGGAGACAGATGGGTCATTCGATGACCCACATCCAGTGCTACGCAGAGGAGTTTTGGTAACATCTACTGCATGCTTGTTAGAACAGGCATATACATATTAGAACTTTAGATGTGGTAACATATTCAACAGAAGTAATTTGAACGCAATATTGTCTGTGTGTGATTGATGTAGAAAGGAAGAGACAAAGAAGCCTCCATGACCGCTTTCATTACTCTTGCCCTTCACCGATCTCTTCAAATCCTGCAAACCGAAGAGAGAAATAATGCGGTGAGATAATGCAGAGATAATATTAATAATATTAATGCCCTGGCTTTTTACCAGCTCTAGTAGTGTTACTTTGGGATGGCAGAGTTGGTCAGTCCACCACTAACGTCCAGACTGAAATATCCACCACTTGAAGGGATTGTCATGTAATTTTGTACAGATATCAATTTTGGCCAGAGGATGAATCCTGATGACTTTGGTGATCTCTTGACTTTTCCTTCAGAACCTTTCCTCTTGCATCAACAGCAGGTCATAGTTTTCACGTATTTTCACATATATTCCAGTAAAATATCTTACATCTTCCACTGGGAATGGCACACAATTTTGAGCAGTCATGGTTATGTATCCTAATGATTTTAAATACGCTACTAGGGATGAAACAGAAAATCATATCACGATTATAGTGACCAAATTCATCACGGTTATCAGTATTATCACGGTATTGTAAAAATGTTCCAAAAAGTCCAAAAAATATAAAAATGTACTGATACACACACTGAAACCATTTCAACAAGTTTTATATTGAAAACTATAAACAATGTTTGCATAAAAAATTTAATAACAGCAAATACCTTTTGTAAATATATGAAAATCATCTAAGTGTGTATTATCAAGATTTTATCTTTTATATTATATAGGTAATACAATGACCCTGTGGACAATTACATGAAAACATAAGTCTTTAGAAGACAGTGATAGTAACATGTTAGTAACGTTAGTAACGTTATCATGTGCAGAGGACGAATAGACTCAACACACACAGCAACAGAACAACGTGTAGCGTTTTTACAAGAGCAGCTAACACTGAGAGCTTCAGTTTACACGCTGTTAACAAGTCAGAGAGACAAACCAAAGCTAAAAGTTAACTCACCCTGCGTTCACTATAAGGTTATTTTCTTCAATCAAGTTTCCCTCAGCACTCTCATAAAAACTAAAATACGACCGGACTTCAGAGTGACTGAAAACTATATGCAGCATTGTCTTCTGCTGTGTTGTCATTGACCCAAACAAACCCATGTTGCATTCTGCGCTTCTGGGAGACGCTGGACAGTGTTTGCCGTGAGATAGGTTAACCGTACCCTGTTACCATGGTAATTAAAATGTGTACGGTAATAATAACCGTCGGCAATTTTACCATGGTTTAATAGTTTCATCCCTATAAGCTACTGACTTTTCCTTTAAATAGTTCTTTATCCCGGGGTCAGGTCAAAATCAGGTCTTCTGGTCAAAATCTATTACTAAAATATATTCAGCACTTTGATTATGGCCAAAAAAAATTAATGGAATTTCCTATCAGCCTAAGCTGTATTTTGAGCATGTTAGGATGCTAAAATAACATGGTGACAATGGTAAGCACTATACATGCTAATCGTCTCCATGTTAGCATTGTGAGCATGTTAGCACGCTGATGTTATTTAGCTCAGTGCACTCCGGTGCCTATGTACAGCTTCACAGCCGGAAGCAAAGCTGTCAACTCTTAGCCTCGTTAATGCTGTAGTTTTATATTTCACATGTTTTAATACACTGTAGTCAATGCATAATTTGTAAGTACATTAGTTCATTGACTCACTTCACTGACTGCCTATATTCTATTTTCTAACAGGATGCAAGCATTTCAAGATCAACAGCATATCTCCTGTCACACCTTGATGAGCTTCAGCATCCCTATGCTGTTGCCATTACAGCCTACTGCATTGCCATTTGCGTGCCAAGGGGAACAGATCATTCATCTGCCTGGAAAAAACTTCAAGCCCTGGCTAGTGAAGGCAGGTCCAATCACATAAAGTCGGTGTGGGTGATACATAATATGAAATTTAATATCAAGTTATCATCATGAAATAATCAATATAGTAGTTAGGTATAATCAAGTGAGAAACTGATTTCATGACAAATAACTTAAAATAAATGTCTATTTAACAAATCGAAAGCAAGTTATTTCATTAATTGATGCAAAAAATCATAGTATTGCCTAATACACCTAGATTTATCAATGTAAGTGCTATCATGAATCATACTGTGGCAGAACATTTGTCAGTTGACCATTTTATATTATACTGTATATATATATATATTATTATTGTATTATATTTACTTATCGCCTGACCCTAAGAGCAACCAGAGCAACTACATTTGGTCAGAAAGTTCAACAAAATGGTGTATTAAAATATGCCATTGTTTTAATTAGTTTTAATTACTTCTTATATTCTATTTCTTAACTGGCAGGGAAGAATGGCTGTTATCTGTGGACAACTGATGCCAACCAGAATCGTGAGAGGGAAGATGGCATCACAGTAGAGACTACAGCCTATGCCCTCCTAACAGCAGTGGAACTTGGGCATACCGAGTGGGCAGACAACGCAGCCTGCTGGTTAACCTCCCAAGAAAACTATTTTGGAGGCTACAAGTCATCACAGGTGATTGGTATGCTAGACTGAGAATTGTTTGAAACCAAACAATCTTTGGGCATTGCCGCTGCATCCCCTGTGTGATCACAGAGTCCAGATCAACCATTAGAGTAGCTAAACCTGTTATTAATGTTTTATTACTATGCCCAGGATACCATCATGGCATTGGAAGCCCTCACGGAGTATGAGCTAAAGAGGTCTGTCAGTCCTGAAGCAAATCTAATTGCAGAGTTCACCGTCCCAGGAAAGAACGACATTGTAAAGCTTGTACTGGAAGATAAGAAGGAGAAGGTGGAAACGGACCTTAAGGTATCATAGAGCACTGTCAGCATTACACTTAAATATACACATAAACATTTCATCTCATTCTTGCATCAGTTGCTTTTTCTTGTGTGCTTTGTTCCAGAAACTTAGAGGGAACAACATTGACGTGCAATTGACAGGAAAAGGTGATACCAAGCTGAAAGTAAGTTTGATCAATGTTTATATGCTTTAAGAGATCCATCATTTACAGTAAATCACCAATCTGTTTGGCAGGTTGTGAAAGCTTTCCATGTACTGGATCCCAAGGACGATTGTAACCAAGTGTCTATCAGCGTCACAGTGACGGGGAAAGTGAAGTACACTGGTGAGCTTTTGTCACTGATAGCAGAGCCCTGTCTCCAAGAAATTACATTTAACAGCAAATATCTTTTGAGGGAAACGTAATGCCGAACAATGATACTGACCATATCAGTAATATGTTCACTGACAACATAGGCTATTTCATTTGATTTTTTTGTTAAAAATTACATTCACTCATAGCGACTACAGCATTATTCAAGTTTTTTATTGTTTTTATGATTTTATAGTAACTTTTAACTTAAACTGCAATCTTTCCCTAATCCTTTACCAAAGTGCTTTTGTTGCGTAACCCTAACCACAGACTGGAGTAGTCAAGAACCCTGGATTCCAGTGTCACAGTCTGGCACTTTCCAAACCACCTCGTCGTCACTCCAGCGCGATACATAAATGCAGTGATTCATTTACTCAAGAAATTTTGTTTTTGAATATAATCCAGGCAGCAAATACGTTGTATGTGTCAACGTGATAGTGAAAACAATTTAGTAATATATAAGTGCAATTTCTAGGAGACAGGGTTGGATAACAAATCACAACCACTTTTATTGCTGATAAAAGCTACACAGTTACATACATGTTTGTCTCCCTAGCTAAGGTCATAGAAAGTTATGAATATTATGATGACTATGATAACAACGAGGAGAAAGAGGCACGAGTGCCACGATCAGCCATTGAGTGGTTTGATGCTCGCACCCGAAACAGGAGAGATCTTGATAACAACTTAAATTCAGACGAGACTGTCACCTACAAAATCTGTGTCAGGTAAGTTCACGAGATTCACATCACGTTTGCTCTTTATAAGTATTCATGAGACAATTAGCTTTGTGGGGAAAAGTCACAAATTCTGATCAGTATCTTTCTCAGCCCCTGTTTTTCATAAGACAAAATAGATTTTACTGAATCCACACTGGGGAAATTCACTTGTTATGGTAGCACATTGCTTCATTGTTTTCCTTTGTGTAGTCATAGCCTGAACAGCAATCTCACAGGAATGGCCATTGCTGACATCACACTTCTGAGTGGATTTGAGGCTGTAACTGATGACCTGGACATGGTTAGTAGCTCTCTTTACCTCCTCTTCATCAATGTCATCTGCAAAGTGGGAGGAGCTATTTTGGGTGCTTCATGACTGTTATAGCATCTACTTCAATAAGGTCAGGCTGCTTAAATGTATTTATATATACAAAAATATTTTGTGTCCGGTACTAAAAGATTTCTTCTCCCTCTCTAGCTCTTTGAATCAGAGGAATGTATTAGTTTTGATTCTATACAGAGAGTACCAATTGGCCTCCTACAGCCTACTCCAGCTGTGTTCTATGATTATTATGAACCAAGTAAGCTTTTTATTTGATGTTTTATGCATTGTTTTGCAAAGATAGTGTGCATCTTTGCTTAATTTACCAGGAATTTATTAACTATTTGTGATTTCCTTGTAGACAGAAAGTGTACTGTGTTTTACAACGCCCCCCAAAGAAGCAAGATGGTCTCCAAACTGTGTTCAGAGGATGTGTGCCAATGTGCAGAAAGTAGGACACTACTCTTAAAGAGTAAATTCTGCACCATATATGTAGATGTCCAGTCAGTGTAAATGGTCAATGTAGTCAATTGAAGCAATACATTTGTCAGTGCTTGCTATATTGGCTAGCATTGCCTACATGTACCAATGCAATGTGTGCGGGCTTCCCTCTCAGCAGCCCACTATAGCTCTGAACTAGCTGCTGGTTGCAATCTTGCCAAACAAATGAATTCCTGCATTTGACCATTTTGTCACTCATATCGTGGCTTGTCTATCAAGTAAAATAACATACAGCAGCAACACACACATACCAGCAGAATGGGCTTCCATATCACAACAAAGCCAACTCTAGCTGCAGTATAAAGTTCCATGACAAAACAGTTACCGGCATCCAACCTATTACTTGTTATTTTTTTGGCTTCAAATGAGGCTTAACATTCACACAATATTACTACGTAACTCCACAATCGCCCCAACCTAAGAGTATCACCCTAGCCTATAACGTTAACTATTACTTAGTTGATGAAAACATAGCATAAAGTGACAATGATACTCACTCAGTTGTCTTTGGAATCCCGAAGAAGGTCTCCAGCACACCTGTCCGAGTGAGTTGTAAAACTTTCATTCAAAGTAACCTGATAGTAACGCACACTAGCGCTCTCTCAGGGTTGGCATCTGTATAAGCATCCAACAAATACTACACATCCTGAAATTCATTGTAGCAGAATGATTCAGTTTCTGTTGACATCGGAGGGCAATTTGAGCAAAGGCATCACCAGTCAATTTTTGCTTCCAGTGTGATCTACTGTTCTGGAGGGTCTCTGCCCCGGCCGCCCTCTGCTGCATTGCTTCTCTGACTCGAATATTCATAAATAAATAAATAAAATAAAATAAAAAAATTCAGAGAATGGTATAGAGCACGGTCCCTGGCCACCCAGAGACAAAAGCTAGAAATCCCAGCTGAAGTAACCTTCCTTGCCTCCAACTACATCATGTCAAATGCTGGAAGCAGAAACAACTCAGCTTTCTAGCACGCACTGTTTCAATGGACTGCATTTACCAGATTTTATGTGATTGGATGATAACCACATAAAATGTGCTGAATTTTCCCTGTAAAACCCATACTGACACCAATAAATCTAGCTTTATCCTTTTGTGTAAATAATTAAAATTGCATTATGTTCATCTTTTCTTTAGGACCCTGTCATAAAGTACAAAATACATTCCAGTCAGAAAGAGGTCGAAAAATCACAAAGAATGACCGTTCACAACATGCTTGCTTCTTCCCTACAGTAGATTACGGTCAGTACTGCAATCAAGAAATTGTTTATTTAACATTGACTTGAGTATAAAGATTGTGACACTGTACAAAAGTATGCAATAGAACGGTACAGATGAATGGTTGTTAATAAATGGTTGATTCTTGTTTTATTTCAGCATACATTGTGGAAGTCCTCAACGTTTCTCTGAAGAGCAACTTTGAGCTCTAGAAAACGAATGTAAACGAGGTTCTCAGATCACGTATGTAAACTGTTACTACAAGCCTTAGCAGATGAAGTAACACTGACCTTTAAATAGTTGTGCACCATTACATTTATGCTTTAAAGACCAATCATAAATATAATCATAATATAATAATTTTTCTACCAGATGGAGATGTCCATGTGACTGAGAATTCTGTTCGAGTGTTTGCTAAGAGGCGTCAGTGTAAAGGACAGTTAGATTTGGGAAGACAGTATCTCATCATGGGCAAAGATGGCTCCACAACCGACTCAAACAGAATGTAAGTATATTCAGTATTACTAATGGAAGTAAAATTTTACACTTACTGATTCTCACTCTGGTCACTCTCTCCCCGCTTTTTTAGGATGCAGTACCTGTTGGACTCAAACACCTGGGTTGAAAAAAAGCCTTTGGAAAAAGAATGTAGAAAAAGTTCTAACGCCTGTGCAGGGTTTAATATGTTTACAAATGAGTACAAGCTTGATGGCTGCAGACAGTGAAATGGAATCTGTTTCATTTTACTTTCATTTTCATTTTAGTGTAACTCAGTAGTTTCCCACACAGACAGCACGGGTGTTGAGAGCTCTATTCTTTACTGTTTATAATCAAATTCATGTAAGCGTGTCAGCCCGACTCCACCACAGTACCATTTGAACTTTTATTACTTACAATGTAACCATTAATCATTTATGTCCAATACAGCTATCTGTGCCTAAAGTAAAGTAACTTATCTTAATATTGTCTAGCAAATTCCTTTGTATGTGTATACTTGGGTGGAGCATTGATTAGATGCATACATATTGAGATAATTATTTTAAATGGAACTCAACACAGCAACAGGGGAAAAAAGAGTGCATCCACAAACAAATTTAAGCTCTTTCATGTCTTTCCAAATTGTGTGATTCAGTTTGGAGTATTGGTTTGATATAGCTCCCTAGTTATTTTTTTCTTTTACTGGCAGTAAAGGATCTGAGAGGGGTCTCTGTACTCAAGCCCCCCCTCAAAGTTACCCCTTTGAGGGGGGGAGGGAGTGGTTTTGGGTTCATGTGCATCCACATAAAGTGGCATGACAGTCTGCATGTAAGACTGGCTCAGTTGCCCCCGATGGAAATGCACAGTGACAGGATTCGGATCAATCATCACCTCATAAGGAGAATAGCTCTTTATCAACTGTAAAGAGCTAATAGTGCTCTTCTCAAATGTGTTCCACTTAGAAAGATACCAAGTGCAATTATATAATTCAAAAACGTGTTGAGTTGGAGGTGATGGAGAGAGAGGTAATGAGAGAAAATGAGGGATAGTGGTAGGGAGCAGTGCAGCAGGAGTGGGAGGGGGGCATGGGCGGAGATGCGAGGAACAAGCAAGGGCTTATGTGCTTATATTATTCTAATCTCTGAGGCCGGGTCCAATGTAAGCAACATGGGAGAACTGACCATCACTTCAATCACAGCCAGATCAATGCCTGCACTGTTTCAGCCTTTGCCATTAGACATTTCATTAAATTTGAATCAATAAAAGGTAAATAAATACGCAGACTTCAGCATCACACATTTTCATCTTGGGATTACTTTGGTGCCCCGTCAGTAGCCAACAGCAACAGCACTTTTGAAAAAGTGTACTTTTTACCCTAGCCTTCTCAAGGTAATAATGGCTTGTCATGACCAAGCAGTGTAGCCTTGTGCTTATGATTAGAGTCACAATCCATCAAGAGTAGTCACAGTTGTAAATTAGTTATTGCTCAGGCTGCACAATAAAATGCTAACATTCTCTCAACAAAGATGGACTGGCTCTGGTGAGTGAATGATACATTTATATTTTCTTAGATCTGTGGGGGATTGCCACAAATGATTTACTATAAATACATATTCCACGAGTACATGCTCACCTACTCTCACAAACCTAATATGCTTGATCATCAACTGTGAAATTGGCTGGGTATTTGCAAAATGTGCTTGCACGACCAGGTGTATTCTGTGTGCAGTAGCCTCAGTTGTTGAAGATGTGTCTCCAGTCATTTTTCCAAAGGCCAACACAGGGTCAGCGGTTTGAGGGTGGTCTACGGTGCAGAAAGGAGTAGAGTGAGGGCGGAGCTGTTCCTGGAGGCTGCCAACAGATGGAGGCACTGATGGAGTGGGACCACCCACTCAAGCCACACTACACTCACAATTACCTAGATTTTCATCTTTATTTCTGGGTGACTTGGTCCGTTATTAGGATAAGCCTTTTCACAGAAGACATTTTGACATGTCAAGTAGGAAAAAAGCACAGGTGTAAATAAGAATATTTATCATGGCTGGATTCCATTTAGCTGCTTAAGTTCTGATACTGTGCGTGCTGGCTCACTGTCATGACTTACTGGGACACCTAAAAAGAATGGAGCTATCTTTGAACACTGGTTTTACTACTAAAACAAGTTGAAATATTTATCTATTATAGGAGCAGTCTCCAGATGTGGCACTGAATTATAGATTTCTTTCATTGTCTTTGATGTCATGTGTTTGTATACAAACCAGTTAGGAGTTCAGTTTGTGAATACAGTTGTGTGCATATCAAGGTGCGTTTTGTTAACATTTTGATCATGCCAGATTTACATTCTATGGATTTGCGAATGAGATCATTTAGTTTTTAATTTTGCTGTATTATCAGCTGCTGTTTGTCATCAGCAGTTTCCTTTGCATGGCCAAATGTGTATCATTTTATATTTACAGTATGTCTCTCTTTGTCATCTCTCTCCTCTAGTTGCCACAAACTGATTAATCCAGCACTAGCTCAGCTTTGACAAGAATCCAGGTGGTTTATTGTATACACTTCATTGTGATGCTGCAGTAGTGTATTGTAGGTTAGTTGCTGTCCAGTATCAGAACATGGTGTGCTTGCCAAGAAAAACATCTTCGCCCAGCACATCCATCCAACCATCCATCGTCAACCGCTTATCCTGTGTACAGGGTTGCGGGGGGGCTGGAGCCTATCCCAGCTGACATTGGGTGAAAGGCGGGATACACCCTGGATAGGTCGCCAGTCCATCGCAGGGCCGCTCAGCACATTAGCTAAAATATCTAATGGTGAATATATTTTTACTGGGTTCTTACATACCCACACTGTAGCATATGTAGAGCGAGGGTATGTAACAATAATAGAATATAAGAGGACTGTTTCTTCAGCCAGAGTTTCGCTGTTCTTTTATGTAACATGATTTTGCATGCTCACTGTCTAAATAATTTGATGGCATAAATTATGTTTTATCATGTATCAATTAGACAATAGTTAAACAAATAACTACACATTAGATTCATGCAGTGTTAATGAGCATCACAATACTGTGTAGCATCTGTAATATAATAATTTAAGAAAGCGCTTGTAAAAGACATGGTCATGACACATATATGAGTGATGTTTGAATTAGCTGTAACTGTTTTTTTCAGTTACCAGAAAAGCTTTTTATTGGATAATATACTTAGACTGTTTCTCCTAATCTCCTGTTAACATGTTTAGGACTAACATAAATAAAAATTAACAATGGCTTGTATTGGGTGAATACTACACTTAATAAATGCAAGTGCATCTTACATTATCTTCAGATATATACCTACAGAGCCCAGCTAATATAAACTTTTGTTTTTGGTCTCCTGTAAAATTAGTAAAATGTCACTTATGCCCTGTTTGCTCTAGACCCATGATACAGTCGTCTTCATGTGGTTTACAAAAGGTGGGATGGTGGGTGGCCATTTGGTTCAGAGCACTCACAGAGCATTTCTTAAATCTGGTGGATATTTGGTCACTTACATAACTCCCACGTAGCTACATCTCATTACCTCCAACAAACAGCCAATTCATATAGCGAGAGGTTCCTGTCCCCCAGAGTCTGCACTGAATACCTGCAGTGTTATGCTATGTATTCCAGCTGAATCATGATTCTCAGACCAGGGCTTTATTGAATCAACGCTGTGTCTCGGTGTTAGCATTGCCCGGTATAAGTCAAGTTGCATTCAGTAGACACTGAAATAACTGTCATCAGCCATGCAAAGCTGAAACGTGCAGACTATTTTTGTGTTACAGTACATGAAAGAACATAAAAAATGGCCAAGCATGTCTTGTACACATTTCACAAAACTGCATGTTATCTAAAAGTCTGGTCGCATTAGATATTAGATTACACACAAAACGCTGAAGTCAAAATCATTTATTATTTAAAATCACTGACTTAATGAATTCAGCTCACAAGAAATAACAGAGAAATAACGTATATATAATAAAGAAATAACAAAAAAGAAAAACACCAAAAAAACAGAACATAAGAGAGTAGTTGATCATCTTCGATACACAATTGTATGTAAAAATGCCACTCTTCTTATAAGTCCAATACAAATATTTTCCATGGTAATTGAGAGAGTGGGACCACTAGGCGTGGAGAAGGGGGGTGTCCTTAAGTAGGAGCAGACTTTATCACTCTCCTCCTTTCTAGTGGTGGTCCTTTCTCTCACCTCTTTCCTCCCAGATCATATCCAGCAATTCTATGTGAGCTTTCCAGATGGAGGGAGCGTCACAAAGAAAGAGATAAAGCCAAGAACTAAATCATTATTCTGGTAAGTTTTTCCCATGTGACTGTAATATCAGAGCGGTAATTGCAGTCATTTGAATCAATATACTCCATTTAGATGTCTTTTGATATTCCTTCATATCCTTTACAGCCTTTACAGTTCATAGCTGAACATATTCTCAGAGTAATTGAGTACATTTGTCTGAAACTATCATGTTGTTGTATAATACTGTGTTTAAGTTGCTAAAAGCACCTTAAAAACCAACAGTGCACTCATTGCAATGAGTGGTGAACATGATATGTAATTTTCAGTGTGCATAGATAATGTAGCATGGTTATACCTACTATGGTTTACTTTAATATTTCTATAAATTTTATAAAAATGAATACTGCGGTAGTATTACAATTCATATTTTAGAAGTAAATAGTGGCTATTATTTCAGTTAATTCTGCAGGCAAAATTGGCTTGCTGTGTAGGAAAGCGTCCTAATGTGTTTACAGGCTGGCTTGGTTTATTTGATTTTCTACAGATTTAAAGCCAAGGCTGGACATATTTCTTTTAGGGATTTTATGAGTTGTGGGTGCAACGGATTATGTAACCTTCTGTATAGTGAAAGACGTACAGTGTCCCACAGTTCTATACAGTGACGCTCTGTTACCTCTCTGTATAGTCTCTCCAGCAGACTCTGGAGACTTCCCGCTCAAGTCACCTTCTTCCTTCCTGTTCAGAATCAAGTAATTTAGATTTGACATGGTTTGGCAAGCCATTGAATTAACTATTATGGCTGATTGAAACACTGCTGTAATTCTTCAACTTATATTTTCATATTCAGTTTTTCTTCACTTTTAAATGTGTACCAGCATGAACTGTCTAAAAAAGGTTTATAATATAATTTCTCATGAACATTCATTCTGGACATTTTTTGAATGATGTTTCCAGTGTCTTGCCCTGGTGCTCAGGGAAGAAAGTTCGATAAACTGTTTCACTTAAAATAAGCTGCGTGGGTGTAGGATGATGCAAAACCGGAAGATTGTCTTGTTTCAATGTGCTCTTATGCTTCTGACCACTGTAAATGATTTTGCTTAATGAAACTTCTTCAATTTCAGATCACAGCATATAAATTATAGAGAAACAGTAGCCCAAAACAACCTCAAATGCTATGACTAAAAGGTTACCAAAATGAGTTTATGAACTAAATGAAAAAGTAACTAA